CTGGTGTAAGTTAAACTCTGTCTGTGTGAGTGTACATCTTACCCTGCGATGCGCGATGTGGGCAGCGGGTCCAGCCACACGCTGCTACTGCTGCCAAGTAGCCCTGCTCGTTGGAAAGAGTGTGGGATATACCACTACTAGGAATGGGAGGGGGAGACTAAGTCTTTTAAGATTTGAATAGCACATTATTGCGCCATTATAATGAGCACCGCTTACATTGTGCTTTCAATAAATACTACTGCATTGTTCAAAAATTATTAATTGTGTCTCAAATTATTGTAGGGGGGGGCAGCTTTACTGAAGGGGGAGTCATGTCCCCCCCCCCCCGGGATTTCCACCCCTGGTCCGTGGTATAGACTGAATGGGAGGAGGCGGCGGCTCAGCGCTGATAGACAGCAGGCAAATCACAGAAAACATTATTACCTCCGCCAAGGAGGTTATGTTTTTGCCTGCGCTGTATGTTTGTTGATAATGGTACAAGGAACAGATGATAAAATTGTGGTGGTGATCGGTTGAAGCGAAGTGGATAAAATAATAAAATGGCGGGAAATCCGAGCTGCTTGGTGGAGGTCTGCGCTCTCCGAGTGCTTTTCTAGTTTCATGATTGTTTCACAGCGGTTCAGCTCTAAACACTAATAGATAATATTTAATTTTATAACCCAAAAACTATTATCAAATTATTTATGATATGAGCTGTTTAAAGGAGCAATAAGTGAAATTCATTATTTCTAGATTGAAGGAATTAAAAAATGTGAAGAACTAGAGGTGTAATTTCATCTGGAGTATAGCATGACCTCACACACCCTCTCTCTGTGTTGATCTCCAGCCCATTGTTTACAAGCCGGTCCGGCTGCGCGTTCATGTACTCCTCCTCCTCCTCTCGGAGCCCTTGGCCCTCCCTCCCTATAAAAGGCTACAGCCGGTGAGCAATGGCAGCACGTATTTTCGAAATTAAATGGCAGAGAGCGGAACGTCCACCTGAAGACGACCAGGATCTGACATTACCTCTAAAGAAACAACGGTTGTTGGCGAAGAAGTTGTCGGATAAAGAAAGGGACAGAACTCGGATTAACATTGGCCTTGCATTTCCAAGGTGGAGAGCACTGCGAGAGCTAAAGGGGCTACAATCTGACTCGGAGGTAGCTCTTCTTCTGGACAGGTACAACATTAAGTCAAATGTCTGTTTTAATTAGTATTACAGTAACGTTAAGCATCGTAGCATGGGTTAATGTCCGGAGCTTGAGTTATTAGTGGCTCAGTCCCAGCAATGGGTCAGGCGTTTCGGTTGTATTAGGTGAGTAGCCCGGCAGCCCAGCTAACATTTGCAATTAGCATTGTAAAATGTAGCCCGGCGGGCAGCCTGGCAGCTGTGTTTAGCTATTCCCCTGCCTACTTCAATGATGATGGTCCCTGTAATAAATGCAATATATTTGCTGAAATGGAGGCGAGGCTCAGTGACTAGAAGAGCTGGTAGAAGCACTCCATAGCTGCAAGGTACTCCAATAGCCGTAGTAGCTCTAGTGCTAACTCTGGGAGCTAACGCTAACATTCCTCTCTTCTCCGTGAGCCTGCCAGGCTCCACGCTAGAGTTCGCCGGAGCCGAGAAGCAGGCTCCCGGAACGTTAGCATGGTAGCTGACTACTGCTAACGCTAACGTCCCCACGCTTCTCGGCTCCGACTCACTGAGCCTGGCGGAGAAGCGTGGGGACGTTAGCACTAATGGGCTGCCATGCTAATGTTCCAACTCTTCTCCGTGAGACCGTGAGCCCGGCTCCCGGCTCAGTTGGAGTTGGAGTGTTAGCGTGGTAGCCGAGTAGTGCTAACAGGAAAGCAGGGAAATAGCTAAACACAGCAGAGACCGAGAGTGAAAGACATTGCTAACTGCTAAACTAAGCTGGCTGTTTAGGTTTTATTTCCTCGCCCCTGTGGCGAGTGAATCCGCCTGCAGTGAAAGCGGGGGCTAACCGGTGCTTCCTCCTCAGGCTCCACTTCACTCAGCTGCCTGACAGACCCGCTGCTTCTTCCCACTTTAACCTGAATAACAAACAGGAGCTAGCTGGGAGCAGCTAGCGGAGCGTTAGCCGCAGCATGACCGGAGGGAAACACAACCAGTTAGCCTCCACTAGCTTCCCAGCTAGCGGCTCTCCGTTTGGATCCAACCGGAGCACTGAGCCCTGGTTTGTTATTCAGGTTAATGTGGGAAGAAGCAGCAGGTATATCGGGCAGCTGAGTGAAGCGGAGCCTGCGGAAGAAACACCGGGACCATCAGCATGTGATAGTCCGTGGAGGTGCTGCGGTGCTCGTCTCACTGGTGTATTGGGGGGGGGTTGGAGAGCAGAGCACTTTGTTTTGCTCTACAGGCAGTGCACAACAGTGAACCTAGCAGTGAAACGATTTCGCTAAGTCTACAATATAATCATGACCTGTATTATACATTAAAAAATGTTCAGAAAAGTAGGCCTCCGAACTGAAACCTGGGGTGTCCCGGAAAGTAACATTAGTTACAGTAACGTTAGCTAACATTACTACTACGGACACACTACTCGTGTAGAAAGTCTCTAGCACGCTAACGTCAGCTGTGTAAATCAGCTTCACTTACATTATACAGTAAAAGATGAGGGCCACATGTGAAAAACAAGAAAGAAAGAAACATAAAAAAGAATACATACCTTTCTGTGTTGCCTGTCCTGGCTCCAACTTTCCTCCTAACATAACTTTCTTCTTCTCGCTCACTCGTCTGTCTCTCGGGTGCAAGCTCAGCACTGCCCCTGGAGGCCTGGAGCACTTCCGTTGTATGAGTGTATATGCAGCTTTTTCTTTTTGTATTTGTTTTCTTATTTGCAGCGAGTTTCAGTATATGCAGCACGTTTCTCTATGCAGCGTTTTCCCGTTGCATTTGTTTTCTTATATGCAGTGCATTTCTCTATTTGCGGTGTGTTTCTGTATTTGCATCGCGTTTGTCATTGTCAGCCACCGTATAAAAATACTACATTCGCGTACAATTTAAAGCTCTGCATTCACATACCTAACATTACCTAAAACATTTTACTGTTTCAGTATGTATATGTGACTCAGTGTGTACTACTGCATGTTATTGATAGATATTTCCATCTATAACAATTCATTTTATAAGTTTTGTATAAAATAATCTTTATCAACAAAATAGCAAAGTACATAAATTATATGACATGGAGTTAAAAGTATGATATTTTCCTGAAGGCTATAAAATGGAAACACAAGTACAGGTTTCTCCAAACTGTGTTTAAATCCAGTACTTGAGTAAATGTACGCAGTTACTTCTCACCACTTGTCAACTATAAAGTCACATCTTCTGCCATGTGTGATTTCTGATAGTTTGTAGCCCGGTTGTTACTTGTTGAGGTATTTTACATCCCTGCTCTGGATTGTTGTGCTGCGTAATGCACAAATGATTTATACTACATGTTGACTGTTTATGTATCCTGTAGGCCAGATGTCAGTGCTAAATTTGATCCTGGAGTTGATTAGTCTGATATATTTGACAGTCACATTTTGTACCATTATAAAGGACTTTTATCACTTCTCCATATTATTCCCACACCATATCAGTGCTAGTAATAACAGACAACTTTCCCTTCACCGTCAGTTTGAGTATACATGCTACCTTCAATCCTTTACTGCCTTCTTTTTGCATGTATGCTCATACCTCATCTCAGTTTCTAGGAGAGGGAATCACCAAGGGCCCCCTGATATGATATTATCAGGATACTCAGCTCATGTTCCAACATTATTGTGACTNATACCTCATCTCAGTTTCTAGGAGAGGGAATCACCAAGGGCCCCCTGATATGATATTATCAGGATACTCAGCTCATGTTCCAACATTATTGTGACTGCAGATGTTTTGCAACATGCTGAGTATTGCAATAACATATATATATATATATATATATGTGTGATTTATGTTGCAATTTATGACTTTTTTTAGCTGCAAGTGAAGGAAAAACTTTATCTAATGGGAGTCATCACACTTTCACCTTTTTTTATTGCAGGAGTAAAATATCAATACTTGGAGTTCATCTATCAATACAATATTGCCACACAAAATATCACAGTATTATAATGTATTGATTATTTTCCTCCATCCCTTCCAGTTTCTACCCGTAATTTTGATGAACACTTAAAGCAGTATAAAATGTAAACATGAAGTTATCAGAGATACAGAGAACACAGTGGTGCTGTATAAAGCAGTGTTTAAATAAATAACAATTACAGTGAGTTTGCTAAGAACAGTTCCTTCAGATTTTGCATAATATAAACCAGAAAACAAATATGCAGAAGTGATTCTCTTAAAAACTGCATGCAGTTGAAATGTGGAAACGCTGAACAACTTCCCAGTTAAATTTTTTGATGCCTCATCTGTCACAAGTTACATTTTAATGCAGGACTAAAACACTGTTCACCAGACCATCATCACTCAACTCTCACTGCAGATTTTAGCAAGTAACCCAGACCATTTACAGCTACACACATTATATGTGTTGTATATGTTGTGCATTGTTGAAGCAATTTAAGAAGATATACTGTATTTTACATTCAGTTGTTTAGAATAAACACTTAAAAAACAAACAGATATAAAAAACAAAAACAAAAAACCCTGAGGAGAAGTGCTTTCACTAGTTTGTGATTTCTCAAGATATTATTTCTTTGGGGGAAAAATCACATATTAACATCACTTCCCTGTTTTAAAACACTCACATTACTTTGATCATAGAGAGGATAAAAACAACAAGAAGCAAATTAAAACATTTTTCATAATTCAATTTTAAAGGGGCAAATTTCTAATTAGATATATGATACACATACTGTAATGTAATGACATAAGTGTACATGAGCATGTCAGTCTAAGGAGAGGAGAAATGTTGCTCATCAGCGTGTGGGGAAACTTCCTTAAACCTGATTGTTGCACAAAGAGGGAAGAAATAAAAAAGTGCAGAGAAACCAGTTCAGAGCAGAAAAACTCTGACCAGTGTGGAGAGAAGACCGCAGGAGAGAGACACAGGAAGAGGTAAAACATATAACATGCCTATTTTTGTTTAAGATTTATTTCTGAGCTGTTAATGAAATTAATTCTTCCCTGAATAATATAATATACATCTGTGATTTGTGGTTTGCTCATGTGAGCACATAGCTGACATAAGCCAACACCTACACCTACTACATCTACTTTATTTTACTGTTTCATGTTTGCTGTCAGCTGTAAGTAGTGTTATGTTACTGCTCATGAAAACTGAACATTTCCTTATTTTGCTGCTTCACAGTAATAGCTTTTAATTAACAAAATATCAGGGGACTTTTATTGGGAAGTATTTACAAGAAATGAAATGCGTTTATCACCAAAATAGTGCAGCTTTGTTAGCAGCTGTTTTTCAGTAAAAACAAAGCTACTTATACCACAGGGAGGAGTGAGATGTTAGATCAAGAGCTGCAGACAACAGGCTCTTACTGCACCTCTGCAAACAGCTCACCTCCAACAGGTGAGCTAATTGGTTACCAGCTATAAAAACCACTAACAGCAAAATAATCTGGGATCTTAAACTGTGGATCAGCCCTTTGCTTTTAAACCTCATTGACTAAAGACAAGCCGTCATCAGTAAAAGACACACTTTGAAGCGGGTAGCCCTGTTATAATGGAAATGCAGATCCCATCCATGCTGGGCTGATGCGCTGAGTTCAGCCGATTCAAGCCAAGCCAGCACGTGTGTATGGAAAAACCCTGTAACTTCCTTCAGCTCTCGCTCTGGAGAGAAATGTGGTCTGGCTGATCAGATCCCAGTGCGGTCAAGTTCTGATCTAGACTTGACAGGTAATGCATCCTGGCATGACTGGATTACATAAGTCACATTAAAAAGACAAGTGTAACCAAAGCCTAAATGCCTTACCACAACAAATGTGAAGTGTGTTAATATCGCAACCAACTAAATCTGCAACATCCTGTATTCTCGTCTGTGATGTCAGCTGTGGAGCTTCCTTTGGTTTAGTTCCTCTATCTTCACTGTATTTTCAGGGTAAAGTTTATCCTGTGGAGGGAGAGACTGTCTGTCTCAAACATCAAATCAGGATGTTTGTTGTCATCCTGGTGACCCTGCTGTTCTCTGTGAGAGGCAGCAATGCTGACACAGGTTTGCATCTTTTATTATAATCTCGTTATGATGCCGACATTAAAGAAATGAATGACATAGATAGATATAATCTGCCATGATTAATGTCCTTAAAGTTATTTCGCATCTATTAACTGAGTTGGAAACGATGGACTTGTTATGTAAATGGACATTTTGTTAATCATATGTGTCACAAACTGGCTCAGAGTATGTGACAAGAAGGGAGTCCACACAAAAGATTTACTTAAAACAAGCCAAATTTATTAAACTAAAATTAACTTAATAATCAATGGAGTGTGTAGATCAGCAAAGTCAGTCATGAAAGCCATGCATGGGTGAGTGTCAGGTGTTCTGTGGAGGTGTTGAAGGTGCAAACCAAAACCAAAGATGCTCAGTGGATGTCAGCTGAAAGGAAGGGAGAGACCAAGTGAACAGATTAGGCAGCTTTTATAGCTTGGAAGCCCAGGTGAGCCTAATCATGGTAACGACCCTCCCATGTCAGCCAGCTGTCTAATAAGACTGGCTGAAACATTCTCAAAGACATTGGGAGGGGCGTCACATATGTATAAGGGATAAAGAAACATGTAAAATGCTGAAATTATGATCCATTCTGCTCTACAGCAGAGATGTGAAACAAAAACAGTCATAGTAGCCTTCCTTCATACTTTATTAAAGGGAAATTTTGGTTTATTTCAACCTGTCTCCTTTCGTCCTAAATTTGTTTCAAGTGACTAGTGACATAAAAATAATAGTTAGCATGTTAGCCGTTAGCCTAGATACAGCCGGGGCGCATAGTAGCGTCAGACCTGTTAAAACATAAGTGAACGGGCATTCTTTAAGTGCAAAGTTAGTCCACTAAACAAGCTTTTTTTTCCACAAAGACCGCCTCATATCTGACATAAATGTCAGAGGACATATAGAAAACGACATGTAAACATGTTGTCTTACCTTACCAGTGTGCTGCCATGTTTGTTTCCCATCTAGCTCTGCTTTCCAAAGCGCGGCCGAAATAAATAAGGTTGAAATAAACCGAAATTTCCCTTTAAATATGGTGCATTATCAAAATTTAAATATTCTAATATTCTTTCATTGTCTTTATTAACAGGTGCAGATTGGGGAAGACAATTCTGTAACAGAGGATACTGTATCACTCTTAGTAAAGGAGAAATAACAGCAGAGGCTGGACTCTGTGTTGTGATACCGTGTCTTTTCACCACTGAATATGGCTTTATACCCCAACATATAGTTTGGTACAAATGTGAACCATCAAAACAAAGATGTGGTGATTCAGACATTATATTCCACACTAACAAGAACAACAAAAAAGTTCAGTCTGGGTTCAAAGGACGAGTGTCACTGTTGGAGCCTGATGTGTATCAGGGGAACTGCAGCATCATCATCAATGACCTCACAGAGTTTGACCCTGGATCATATCAACTCAGAGTAAATGGTTTCCTGAATGGGAGGGAAGTTGGATATACATTCTATACAAGAGCAAGAGTCTCTGTTAAAGGTACAAAGAGCTACAACAAATATATTCAGTGAAGATGTTTATTGTTGTGCCTATAAACTGTAACAGTGTATTTGGTGAATTTATGTTCTCAATGGAGCATGAAGTAATGTTTTGCATGTGTTGACCTCTCATGGCAACCAGAGGAACTGCAGCAGTTCCTGATAAACTCCTACTTACTCCACCAGTGTTTAAGAAAGTATCTGATAATTTTGGCCCATGTTCAAGTGAATTATAACTTTCAAGCTGCTCACCTGATTCCACTCATGGACTGTTCTCTTATTAGGTCTGACCCAGAGGCCCACAGTGATGATTCTTCCTCTGACAGAGGGACAGCAGACCACACTGACCTGCACTGCTCCTGGTCTCTGCTCTGGATCTGACCCTGAAATCACCTGGATGTGGGGAGGAGCAGGAGAGACGGACTCTCGCACCACAGGAAACATCACTGCTTTCAAGACTGAGGATCTGACTGCTGTCACTCAGTGACACAGCTCAACTTTGACCTTTAACCCTTCAGCTAAACACCACGGCACTGATGTCACCTGTAAGGTCAGCTTCACAAACAACATCACAACAGAGGAGACTGTGACTCTGAACGTGACCTGTGAGTAACACATACTGTACTTTATTCACAGCTTTACTTTTTACTATCTGAGATGTTTGATATGAGATAGTCTGTCATGTCATTTCTGATGCTTTGCTCAGGTGTGTTGGATTTTTTAGTGGTGCCATTATTTTGTATATAATATAATATACAATTTTTGTCTCATAGATGTGAAGGAAGTTGAAATCACTGGGAATACAAGTGTGAAGGAGGGTGAGGCTCTGAGTCTGATCTGCAGTGTTGAAAGTTTCCCTTCAGCTCTCATTACATGGACTAAATATTCTGATGAAATGCAAAATAAAACAGAAACTATTCTGCAGAACGACACTGTTACTGACCTGCAGAACTACACTGTTACTTACCTGCAGATCGACACTGTGACCTTCCTGATAAAAAGTGGAATGGACACCTTTTCCATCCTTAACGTGACAACAGCAGATGCTGGACTGTACATCTGCACAGCAAAACATCAGAACAACACCCTGATGGGAAAAGTTAATGTCACAGTGATATGTAAGTACACTGTACAACTGTTCTACGACAGAAAATGTCTTGTAGTTTTTTCCCTCTTTCCTCTAATCCAGGAGCTGAAGCTATTAACTCTGTTTAGAGCAAAGGACCTCACTAACCATACCAAATTCAATTCCTGAATAACTTCCACAGCTCTGCCCCTTTAGTTTATAATGAACTTTTTAAAAAAAAATAGTCCTAGGACCTATGAAGGCTTCCAGATGGTTCTCAGCTCTACCGGAGCCACATGTTTAAAATAATAAAAATCTTGTCTGTTAAAGCCGCTCTGTGGAGAGTTTGAAAATATTTAGACTTTGGCACCCTCCGATGGTAATTATAAAACAACAAACAAAACAGAAAACACTAACAGACAGTACATGTAAATAGGGCTGGGCGGTATGGCCTAAAATCAATATCACGGTATTATTTTCGGGGGATGCTGTGACGGTATGATATTGCGGTATTGTCTCTGGTATCTCTCTTTTTTTTTGTTGTTTTTTAAACCTTAAATAAAAATTTAAAAAGCCATACAAGTGTAGGATGGAAAGTATTTATCGTGAGAAGTAAAACGGTTGCTAATCCATCTATTATTGTGTATAAAACATTATATAGTATGTATAAACATTAGAGGGAGGAGGGAAGGAAGGTGGGCCTAAAATAAATGAATAAAAATAAATAAATTAATGAATAAAAGAAAAGAAAAGAAAATAGAAAGATAGTTGACTTTTACTTATTTTTTTCCCCTGTGCTTTCCCCTGGGGGGGGGGGCTTCTCCCACAGGCCTGGGTTTGGGGCAGTCAGTCAGGCCACCTCCATCACGTAGCGAGGGAGGTGCATGAGGCAGGCCAGCCGCCCGCCGGCACATTGAATTGCCTTGTTGCTGAAATGTGCAACATAAATACACTTGACTTGCCTTTCGGTTCTGTCCAGTCTTATTTGTCCTCCTGGTGTAGCAATAACAGTGCTAGTTGGCATTGAAAAACAGTGAATGACAATGGGGAGCATTCAGCAGCTGTACTGTCGTGATTGGATGATTTTACAGTACCAACATCAGCCATCAGTGACAACGTGAGAAAATGGCATGAAATCACATGTGAGGACTTCTTTCATTTTGAGTGGCAAGTTCACTATGTTCCACAACTTTTTAATTTTTTTAGTCTTAGAAATGAACTCACAAAATGTCAAGAAAGGAAATATTCTTACATTTGTTTTCCTTATTAAACAGAAGAATACAGCCATAGAGTTTCTCTCTTTCATCAAACTAAAACTAACATAATTGTCTTGTAAACACGTTAACAAAAATAAATAAATAATCACTGAAATGATCTTGGTTAGTTTCCCACAGTTACAGCAATCACCAACTCTGGTTTTTGAAATAATTTTTTAATTCACAGAGTTAGATGTGAAAATATTCTCTCTGTACACACCATTCATCCCTACTGTTTCTCTAGGTGTGTCAGCTGCCCGCTGAACAGCGGCTCTCAGTCATTCTTTGGTGGCAAACCATTACATTAGCAAAATAAAATATATAAATAAGTTAAAAGATACAACTGGTGATATACCTGGCAACCATGAAGGTGTATAAGCTATTATATTTATCCTCCACACTTTGGGAAAAAGTGTCTGGAAAAAAATAAAAACTCAATACCAGCTTGCAAGTAAAGAGTGATAAAGTTGGCAACACTCAGCAAAGTGACCACACTTTGGCTCTAAAACAGAAGTAATATTATAACATCACACAATGCGGAAGCGCCCTAGTTCACACAAAGGATAAGGTCAATTATTGTCTATAAATATTGTGAGATGTTGTAATGTGTTTAATGACTTTATCTTGTCATTATTTAATTCAATGAATTCTGTATTTGATTGTTTCTGACCTCTTTTACATATCTCAACTTAAGATATTATGTTTATAATTTGCTTCACAGATATGAGGAAACTTGTAATCACTGGAGACACAACTGTTGAGAAAGGAGGTGCTTTAAATCTGACCTGCAGTGTTGAAAGTTTTCCTCCGTCTCATGTCACATGGACTGTACGTGGTTCCAACACAAACCTGCAGAGTGGAGCTGATAGTGACTTACAGAAGGACACTGGATCAGCCACACTCTTCATCTCTGATGTGACAGCAGAACATTCTGGACGGTACATCTGTACAGCACAACACCTGGACACAACTGTGACTACATATGCTGATGTCACTGTGACTTGTAAGTACACCGTAATAATCTTCTGAAAAAGGAATTTCATGATCACATTTTACACTATCTGCTTTTAGTTGTGATGTTATAATTCTGCTTGCGTGTTTACAGTGTTTTCAAAGATCTTGGAAACCTCTGGATGTGTGGTTCAGTCAGAGGTCCTGACTTGTGTGTGTATCAGTGAGGGGTTTCCTTTGCCCACCATCAAATGGCCGCTGTTGAAGAATCACACTGAGTACTCTGTCGTTACCACTGTGTCAAACCACACGGTCAACAGCACTGTCACTGTGACTGTAAAAGACCACAGCACTTCTGTTGAGTGTGTCAGCAGCAACACAAATGGGGAAGCAAAAGAAAACCTCACCATTCGAAATGACATCTCAGATCAAGATGGTACGTGTTCTCAACTAAAACACATCAGCAACTGTAGACCACTGCTTTATGACATTTTTAGTGCCTCTTTTTTTTTACTGTTACCTTTGTCCTCACATAACCGTTGGACAAGCTTTCAAAAGGAAATAAGCCATTGCATGTTTTTTTAGTGTTCAGAACAACATGAACAGCAACATTTTTCTTTTGTTCATGACTGCAGGTCAAACCAGTGAAGTACTGAAAATTGTCTCACGGCCTGAAGTGATCATTGCCTTTGTGATTGGGGCAGTTCTTTCAGCAGTCCTTTGCTGTTTGGCAAAAAAATGCCACAGGTACACTTTTGAATCCAATGATGAATTTCTGATTTGTTTGTGGATCTTATTCATTCTTTAATTTTGTTGCTGTCTTTAAATGCATTCACCCCCTCAGAAAAAAACAGAAGAGCTCTGGAAATCTGGAGGTGGTGACCGGTCAAGAATATCCACTGGTATGTACATTACTTCAGCTAAGCAACAAAGAGACTCCTAGGAGAAACAGTTTCATAGTTACAAACACATTCATAGACATTACATTACAGTTACCTCAGCAATACCAAAGATACAGCAATTAAGGAAGAGGTTGGGGTAGTAGAGGGAACCTCAGCATTAGCAGATTAATAATTAGGAATGTCAGATTTTAAGGATCTGAGGATCCCTAATTAGCAGCACAATATTAAAAGATTATGGCATGATTTGAAAGAAATGGTTGGCAGTAATGTAAATATACCAGAGAGAGATTTTACGCTTAATGTACACAGTTTTGATTCATCATCTTGTTCCAATGCAATGTTCTGCTGCTCTACCCACCCAAACACGTTACAGACCAAGTAGCCCTCCTCTTGGCAACGGCACTTCCTGATAGCACTGCCCTTCCCCCTCAGCAGGACAATGCACCATGCCAAACCATAAAAACTGCACAGGAATGGTCTGAGGAACATGAAAAAAACTCAAGGCATCAACCTGTCCTCCAAATTCAACAGAACCCAGTCTTATTGAGCATTTGTGGGACATGCCAGTACCCCAGAGGTACCCCTAAACCACAGTGGGGCCTCCTTGGATCAGACTCTGAGTGTGTTGTGTGGTGTCTTACTCCAGGGCATTGGCAGCAGGTTCTTTAAGTCCTGTGGGTTGTGAGGTGGGGTGCCAGCACGTCCCATGGAAGCTTGATCATATTGGAATGTGGGGAAGTTAGAGGCCAGGTCATCGCCTTGAGCTCTTTGTCAAATTCCAATTGAGCAGTTTTTATGGTGTGGCATGGTGCATTGTCCTGCTGGGGGGGGCACTTCCATCAAGGATTTGCTGTTGCCATAGGGGGTGTGCTTGGTCTGCACTGCTGTTTGGGTGAGTGGAAGGTGTCAGGTGGTGTCCACATGAACGCTAGGACCAAAGGTTTACCAGCAGAACACTGCATTGTAACGAAATGATCAATGATAGCATTGATCATTTCACCTTACCAGCCAGTGGTTTTAATGTTCTGGTTGATGGGTGTACATTATGTTGTACGCAACAGATAGAAGCTGGTCAAACAGTGGAAGATGATCAGACCTACTACCAAGAGGCAGCTGAAGAAGGAGGAGCTGTGGCAGCAGAGAAAGCAATGTCTGATCTCAATGGTGGACCAAAAGATGTGGAGTACGCCAGCATTGATTTCTCAGTGATGAAAAGGAGGAGTCCCAGGGAGGCAGCAAAGAAGCAGGAGACCACGGAGACAGAGTATGCTGAAGTTAAGAAAACAGTGAAAAAGAAAATGGAAGAGAATGGTAAAGAGGAAGGTGAAGTTTTGGAGGGCAAAGAGGAGCAGGCGATGATCGAGGAGGATGAGGAGACAAAACAGTATGTTCCTGAAGAGGAGGAAGGGGAGGAAATGGCAGTGTACTCCAGTGTGAAGGATGTAATGGATGAGATGTGACGACTGTTGCATTGTGGAGTTGCTTGAGGATAACGTTTCCTTGCTCTTATCAGATGTAATGGACTGATGATGGATTGTTATTCTGGTGAATGAATGGTGGTCATGTAAATGGGTTTCACCACAAGGCTGTGATCCTCAAACGCCAATTTCAGCATGTCGTAACCTTAAGTGGTGAAGACACTTCACACCTCTGTGTTAGGAGCTGTGCAAATCCTTTCATTCCACCAAGACTGGACTGGAAGTTCGACTGAATTTCCTTATATGTCATTGACCCCTCGCTAAGCCCCGCCACTTTGTGATGGTCTGTCAAGCTGTTGGAGTAAGCATGGAGCCCACACTGTAACTAACTGCACTCCCTGAAGAAATATTATCATATTTTTGGAAAAATGAAACAGTGATTCCAGAGAGAAGCAGACAGAGGGGTCTACAGTCTGTGTTTGAATGATATATCCAGGATGTCAAACTGACTCAGCAGCAACAACAGGTTAAAAAGACAAAGATAGTTAGAAGCTAAAGCCGAACTGTAGGCTACAGATCACAGTGTAAAAGTGAACCACCACATCACTGCTGATTGCCACAGAAGACAATGAATATAAAGGGAAACGTTGCTGATATTGAACCAGCTGTGTGGCATCACAGTGTGTGCAGATGAACAGTGTTTGGCTGTGTTTCTTATGTGCTTGTCCTGTACAGCAGGGTCGGTCTTTTCTCACTGTTATAATCATTAAAAAGTAAAAGCAGCATGTGTATACATTCAGTAGGCTATATCTTCAGTAGCTAGCTAGCTAACCCTACACTTTTCAGGGTTTGATTTTGGTTCTGGAACAGGGAAGAAACGTTTATCTTTTTCCAACCTCTCCAGGTAACGAGTATCATTAATACACGACGTGCCCCAGGCACAACATTTAGCTCCAAATCCACAAAACCAGCCTGAAAATGAAGGAAATCTGAAATGACTGCATTAGAGTCAATGGAGCACAGCTGTGTTGTTGTCAGACCCTGGTCTGAGCCGGCCAGATGCTATGTTATGATTAGCCAGTCTGTGTCTGGGGGAGGGACTTTGCAAAGGGTCAGTTGTGTTTTAGTTTTTATAAACTTATCAGAGAAGTTTCCCTACATCCATAAAAAAGTTAACACCACCATTATGGCAGCAGTTTGTAAAGGGGCAACCATCTTCATCCTCTCTGCTCTGAGAGCCAAAGTGAAATTTGTTTGGTGCCTTTTATTTAACTAAGATGAACACATGCCTTAAGTGTCAGCCCACATTTCTCTGCCTCAGGCAAAAATTGACCCTCACTTTGAAGAGGTTACTCTTTTTCAGAATTCCTTCAGGGATGGCAAAGTTGTTTTTGTGTGTCGGTCAGTTTGTTGGACCACTTTGGTTTAAACTAAAATATCTCAGCAATTATTCAGTGGTTTCCCATTAAATTTTGTACACTCATGGTCCCCAGAAGATGTACGAGTGGTTCATAAGGGTTGAGCTGTGCCTTAAAAATCTGTCCTTTGTCAGTCTTCTTCTCTGGTGCAGTAGCAGCAATGGAGGAGTCACACACAGAGAACAAAAAGATTCAGACTAATGTCTAAATTTTTAAATGGTTTTATTCAAATATTAGGGCTGTGCAGATGATGGAACAAAAAGTCAAAAGTGCATAAAGCTCACAGTGCAAAGGTTTCATTCCATTTTGAACTGTCAATAGTGCTGCAGTTTTTTGCACTAAGGAAACTCCAACATGGACTGTGGTGTTTGCACTCTAAGCACTTTTGCACATTTGTACAGCCCTAATGTGCTTTGACCCAGACTGAATCTTTGTTCTTTGTGCGAGTTCTCCATTGTTGCACTCTCCAGAGGATATATCCCAATGAACAGACCTTTATTTCCCCCTTGGGTAAACTTATCTTGTGTTTAATGCTGATTAGCAAATGTTAGCATGCTAATGTGCTAAATTAACATGGTGAACATGTTAGTGTGCGGTTTTAGCATTTAGATCAAAACAGCTCAGCTGTCACTGAACCTAACAGCTTCAGTTTCATACTGTAGCTGTGAGTATGGCTGTAGTCTTTGTCTTGTTTCATTTTTAGTCAGTGTCTATAAACGGTAACCCAAATGTAAGACTGTTAGCTTATCTCTGTGCAGTACTCACATGGACATACATGTATTGACAAAGTTAGATCCCTTCCTTAAGCAAGTCTGATTTCAGAGATCTGAACCTACAGTTCAATCTGCATTACAGAGATCAACCAAAGTTGCTGCAATGAAGCTTTAGTGAGACAAATAATGTGGATGTCTTCTAAAGTTACTGTTTTTGTGGTACAAAGTTCTGTCATTGTGTTTTCAACTAAAGCTGCACATCTTCAGCTGAACTTTGAGATGCATTTTTCCCCCCCCCAGAAATTAGGACTGTAGACAGTGGAACTGCATTAGGATGGGTCCTGTTTAGGGCCACTATGGACAATATTAATTGCAAAAATTTGGATGTACATATAGACATCTAAGAGTTACTTCAAGACTTGCTTGAAAAAGACAAAAAAATAAAAAATAAAAAAAACAGGACATTCTCACTGTAAACTTGTTTAAATGTATGCATTTTATTTAAAATATGAAGAATTTGTAAATACAAATCAGTAAGCTGTCTTTTATTATTGTTATTATTTTCAATATTTGGCTTTTTTTTTAATCTGTAATTTCAAACAGATGAAACATTTGGCCTGATTTGTCTCTATGTTAATGTCCTTTAAGAAGTCACACATTACTTCCCTTTTTAAAGTGTTACAGGAACGAGCTTGACTACTGAGTACTGGAGTGACCAGTATTTGCAACATGGTGTCTCTTCTCCTTTTTCTTTTCTTTGTTTTTAAATGTATGGAATGGTAATGGAAAACACCTGTTTATGTTTGGGATGAAATCATTGAGTTGTCAATTACAACAAAGCCTTTTTCACTTCAGGTAAACACTGCAAATTTCACAGGTTCAGTAGTGAGTGTTAAATCTGCAGACAACTGATAAGGACAAAGTTGTCGCCTGTTCGTAGCTGAAAATAGTTATAATCTAGCACCTTTAAGTGTCAAGAGGAAGTTGTTAGAGAGAATATAGTCATGCCTTATAAGGGGATGATTTAATGAGTGATCACTTCAGGGACTTTTCTGAGAACTCAACTTAAAGATGTTGCACAATTAAAAAACAACAACACACTGTTAACACAGAGGTTCTTTCAAAGAGGCTGCATGCAGTTGAACTAAGATTTAGACAAATACTTTTATCTACAGATATTTAAGTCATAATTACTTACTCATAACTTAGCTGACACTGCAGATATAAGCCAGTGATAAACATATTTACATCATGCACATAATGTATTGTGCATTTCAATGTAAACAGATAGTTAGTAGATAGGACTGTGGGTTTGTTATGATGAAAACATTTTTTAAGGCCACAAATACGGTATTTCCCTGAAATTCTCTGAAAGTTTCTAACATTCACAAAGATTATTAAATAAAGGACTTGTTCCATTTCATTCATTGTTTAAGTTGCACATCATCGTATGTGCATATTTAATATATCACCTTGATATTTTAGAGATTTTTTCTCAAGGTGTGTCAGTGTGTGTGTGTGTGTATGTGTGTGTGTGTGTGTAGAGAACCATCCTTGTTGTGCAGAGAGCAGTATAAAGAAAGGAGGAAGAGTCAGTTCAGAGCAGAGCTCGCTGTGGAGAGAAGAGGGCAGAAGAGCAAGACAAAAACAGGTAACCACAACTTTTCATCTCTAAAATATATTTTTCTTCACTAACTAATGTCATAAAATGCTTTTAAGAATTGCTTGCTTTACTTGTAAACCAAGGTGTGCATTTTATTGGGAAAGTCTGGGTTTAAGGTGGTTTTAGATAAAAGGTTACTTAAGATTATTTATTTTGCAGCTTCCTGTAATGTGTCAAAAAGTGCTGGGAAATTTCGAGGAACTCACAACCCTGAAAAACATGCTGGCCACATTTATCAGCATGACTACTTAAAAGAACGTGCAACATACAGTATTTAAATCTGTGCCATCAACTGCAGAGTTGTTTCTGGTCCAGTTTCATCAGTTGAAATATTTTAATGTTTAAAATGTTTGTGCTTCTGAAAGCAGGAGAGCAACTCAAACAGTTAAAACAGCAAATATACTATATTTTTAAATGTTTCTATATAAAATCTATTGAACTAAATAGTTACGCTACAATAAAGCTGGACAATGCAGAGACCACAGATATCTCTTGTTCAGAGCTGTTGCTGAGAGGTGTAAAATGAGGCCCTGGGGAATATTGTTGTCAAATTTATTATCCTCAGTGCAGAATAGATGAACATGCAACATCCTGTATTAACATCTGTGCTGTCAGCTGTGGAGCTGTGTTTCTAGTCCAGTTTGATCAACCAGACTTCCTGTATGTTTTTTGCACTTTTTCCATAAGGTGTTCGTGCCTTTGAAAGAAGGTGTTTTTCCTGTGGAGGGAGAGACTGAGTGACTTAATCATCAAATCAGGATGTTTGTTCCCATTTGGGCAACTTTGCTCTTCTCTGTGAGATGCCGCAGTGCTGGCACAGGTATGCGTCTTTATTATAATCTTATTAAACTCTACTGAGTCTTGTAGTGATACCAGTATTTCTCTTTTAAAGCTGTTGATAAGATCTTAAAACGTTAGTGATTTAACATTTAAATGGCCTTTGAAATGCTGCCCTTTCAAGCTCCACATACAAGTACTTTGCATTATTAGTGAGACTGGAGCTTGTTAAAACTATCACAACATCTTTTCATTACTGGGAATACCTTAAATGTAAATTAAGAATTCACTTGCTAAATATAGGGAAAGAAGTAAACAAAAATTAGATATTGTTTTTCTAAATATAGGTTTTGTGTTTAAAATCACTGAAATTTGATAACATGATTAGATGGGACAATGTTTAATATCAGCCTCACATATCAGCAAGTATAAACTAATGATGCTAAAGAAAAATGCGGACACCTTTCACTTCTTTATCAGTGATCTCTTTTTTAAAAAAAACTTTTTTTTCCTCCATATTAACAGGTTCCTTTCCAGGAGGAAAAGAAAATTGCCAACAAGGATCCTACTCTATCACTCTTAGTAAAGGAAAAGTAACAGCAGAGGCCAGACTCTGTGTTGTGATACCGTGCTCTTTCACCACTGATCCTGGCTTTATACCCCAACATATAGTTTGGTACAAATGTGAACCATCTGAACCAAAATGTGGTGATTCAGACATTATATTCAACATTAACAATACTAACAAAGTTCAGTCTGGGTTCAAAGGACGAGTGTCACTGTTGGAGCCTGATGTGAATCAGGGGAACTGCAGCATCATCATCAATGACCTCACGGAGTCTGACTCTGGATCATATCAACTGAGAGTAAATGGTTTCCTGGATGGGCGGGAAGATGGATTTACATTCTCTGCAAGAGCAAAAGTCTCTGTTAAAGGTACAAACAGCTACAACAGATATATACAGTGAAGATGATAACTGTAGTGTCTATAAACGGCACCAAAATATTTGGTGTATTTAGAGTCCTAATGGAGCATAAAATAATGTTTAACATTTGTCGACCTCTATGGGCAGGCAGTAGGAACTGCAGCAGTTCCTGTTTATTTCTCCTCTTTGCTCCATTAAAATGAATAACGAAGTATCTGATCATTTTAGCTCCAGCTTAGATGAATGATAACCCTCAAGCTGCTCACCTGATTCCACTCATGGACTGTTCTCCCATTAGGTCTGACCCAGAGGCCCACAGTGATGATTACTCCTCTGACAAAGGGACAGCAGACCACACTGACCTGCACTGCTCCTGGTCTCTGCTCTGGATCTGTTCCTGAAATCACCTGGACATGGAGAGGAGCAGGAGAGACGGACTCTCACATCACAGGAAACATCACTGCTTTCAAGACTGAGGATCTGACTGCTGTCACTCAGAGACACAGCTCAACTTTGACCTTTAACTCTTCAGCCAAACACCACGACACCAATGTCACCTGTAAGGTCAGCTTTGCAAACAGCATCTCAACAGAGGAGACGGTGACTCTGAATGTCAACTTGAAAGGCAACACGGCTACAGAGAAAATGACGACTCCTGACATGACCAGTGAGTAGCACATACTGTTCTTCATACTCTCACATTTTTTGACTTTGCAGAATGTTAGAGAAGCTCTCCCAGCTCAGTGTAGTTACCATAAAACTGGACTGTGAATATATAAAGTTTCATAACTTGAGGTGAAACTCTTGGGTCCTATCTTGGAAAAAATGTTTAGCTCATCCTGAGATTTTTAACTGAGTACAGCGTGAACAGCTTTTTTAAAATTGGTTGTTTTAAGCTCCCTCTTAAATATCTTGTGTCTGGATGAACAGTACACACAGGTGGGGATAATTATTGGTGCCTGCAGGCAGCACAACAAGAACATCCAGCAGGGGGAGTCACAACCTTTCCTTACACAGTCTCATGATAGAGAATACTACAACACAAAATACCAAGGAAACAACATCAGTATATTCACCTCTTATGAGGTGAATATTATTCATTCACTTCGTCACAAGGATGAACTGATTAGATTTTGGTGGTAGAAGTTCAAGGTCACTGTGACCTCATCTGTCTCATTCTTGTAAACACGATATCCCAAGATGACCTTGAAAATAGGTCAAAGGTCAACTTCACTGTGACATCATAATGTTCTGCAAAAAGCTTTTTTTTTCTTGGCCATTATTCACCGTCATAACTCAGGAACAGAAGAGGAGACATTTGGTCACTGTGTGTAAAGCATCTATGTTTCAGAATTTGCAGCTTCTTGACAGCAACATCCATATTTGAAGCATTGCCAGTAGTTGTGGCTACACGAATGTGGATAGAAATGAATGTAAACTGTAACAGTCAGCTGCTTAACTGGTTCACAAAGGCATACAACCAAAAGGCAGTAATTCAAATCTCAGATGTTGATGCTCTGAATCTAACCTGCAGTGTTGATAGTTAACCTGTGCCTTCTATTATATGGACTAAATAGCTTCCAATAGAAGCTTGCATGAAATAAATAAAAATGAAATGCAAAGACACGACACCGGCCTCTCTTATTATCAATAATATGTCAGCAGAACATTCTGGACCGTACATCTGTGCAGCAACACATCTGAACAACACACTGATGACAAAAGATGACGTAACTTTATGTGAGGACATTTTATAAATATTACTATTGTTGTGTTTTTCATTGTCGGATATCTTGATTACCAGAGGGCCTTCTCAAGTCAAATGGCAGTTCATTTCAGTTACCGATAGAGATTTTGTTCTTACATTGGGCTCTAAGGTACATAATCCTTTTATAAAAAGGGTTTGAATGCTTACTGATGCATTTTTAAGGCCTCCAGGTGGCATTTGGCCTCAGACTGGGCCCTTATATGTAGAATAATAAGGAACTGTCCGTCAGACAGATTCCAATAATTCATGTACAATTTGTCTTCAAGCTGTAACAACCCCTGCGAGTACTGGAAATACAACTGTTGAAGAGGGTGGTGCTCTAAATCTGACCTGCAGTATTAAAAGTTCTCATCCATCGGCACTCACCTGGACTAAACACGGCTCCAACAAAACCCTGCAAAAAGAAACTACAATTGCCCCGCAGAACAACACTGGAACAGCCGCCCTTGTCATCATTAATGTGACAGCAGAATATTCTGGACTGTACATCTGTACAGCCCAACACCAGACCAGTCTGACTACAGATTCTGAAGTGAATGTGATATGTAAGCAGACTTTACTAGTCTCCTTTTTAAAGATATTTATATCATCTTCTCATCATCTATTAATGAGATTCTTCTTTTGTGTTTGCAGTTCTTCCAACGATCTTAAGTAGCTCTGCATGTGTGGTTCGGTTGGAGGTCCTGACCCATGTGTGTATCAGTGAGGGGTTTCCTTTACCCACCGCTGAATGGCCGCTGTTGGAGACTCTCACTGAATACTCTCTGACAACCAATGTGTCAAATCACACGGTGAACATCAGCATTACCGTATTTGTTAAACATCACAACGACACCACTGTCAAGTGTGTCAGCAACAATGACGCTACGAACCTCACAATCAAAACAGTTGTGTTAAACCAGGAGGGTAAGTGTTGACAACTAATACAGTGTGTACATCCTCCGCTCTAGACCACTGACATTTTCATTACCTATTTTTTTAAAAATGTGTTCAACAAGAGTCAGCAGTGATCACGACTATTCATCTTTGGACAATTTGTTCATCTCCATTTCAGATCTACTCAAGATTTTTTTAATGGCTTTTAAAATGCCTCAAGTCATCATTGCATTTTTGATTGGGATACTTCTCTCAGCAACCATCTGCTGTTTGGCCAGAAAATGTGACAGGTAAACTTTCATTTATTTTCACTTTACTGTTCATCTTTTTTAGAAAAGATTTTAAAAGCATTCTTTGTGTATAATGATCAATATAAAGGACCACACCAGTGTTTTATACATTGTACAGTAAATCGTAAATACCTTTGCATAATGCCAACCATTTTCCAAGAAATACCACTAGCATTATTTAATGTGTTCCACTGATATACAGATATAGATAAATGTAAGAGTATGAATCTAAATGTAAAGACTTGAAACTTGCTTGAATTTGATTGTCTATCACAGTGAACATTACATTGTGTGGTAATGCAATGCTGATTTCATAAATCGATCTGAAATTGTAAATGCATTTTAATGGAGCATTGTCTCCTTACATCGTCCATCCATCTTCTACACCAGTGGTTCCCAACTGGTCCAGCCACGGGGTCCAGATTTCTCCTTAGTCATTAGTTCAAGGTCCACACAGTTTAATATAATCGGTGCCTTACTTGCATTTTGCCATGTCGTCAAGCTAGTTTGCTGTCTACTAGTATCTGTCTACTATTTACTCTCTATACACCAGGAAATGGCACTTAGAAATAAAAGCTTGTGCTGGAAATTCACTGTACGTAGAAAATAAAGTGTTCATAATGCCCATTTTGGACCATGACCCACCAGTTGAGAACCCCTTTTCTAGATTGCTTTTGCTGCTCAGGTTTAGGACTTAGGGTCTGTAGCATTTCCTAGCAGGTGGTGGGTGAAAGGTTGGGTACACTGGACAGATGGTCTGTATTATAGGGACATTTACACAAATTTACTCAGGGATAATTCAGAGTTTTCAATTCGACAAATCCACACGCCTCCATGACTATGTTTGCTAACAGTTTGCTGGTGTTTGAACCAAACATTTTTGCTGTGAAACAACACTGATTGGCTATTGTGCCGCTAAAATGACCTGTCTTATAATTAAGCAGTTACTTAAGCAATTAATAATAAAATAATTGTTACCTGGTAAATAGAAAGAAAACAATTGGAAACAATCAAAAGACAATGGTTAGCAGCCACGATGACCTGATTAAACAAAGGTTATAATAATGTTAGGTTAATCAATCAATCACAAGTGTGGTCCTTTTGAGACGTTTTTTAATGTGACTTTGATTCAATAATCCCTGCTCATCAGTTGTTACTCATTAACATGTGTTCCCATGTTATTAAATGTTCTCCCCAGAAATAAACAGAAGAACTCAGCTGAGACTCTGGAGATGATGACTATTCAAGCAGTTCCACTGGTATTTAAATTAACACAGCTGGTTATTATTGCATATAATAGTTAAATGTTTTTTTGTACTTGCTGAAATATTAATCTTGTGATGAAACATGCAGTACCATTGCTTTTCTTTTATTTCACTATGTATGAAAATCATAGTATGAAAAATTTCAGTATGAATATCAACTTGCAGAAACCTGAAGCCACAGTTGGTAACTTTTATTTCAAAAACACTTTTCATATTTGCTGCAACTTACTATATTTACACAGCACTAAATGACACCAATAATCTGTGAAAACAATCATATTCATCTGCCTGTTCTATTGCCTTGTTGCATTTCTAATGGCCTTACCACATGTGAATGAAAACAACCAATCAGAGCCGAGGAGTCTCTAATGCAGCTGTCAATCATGTCAATCACTGCTCATGAACTGCAACCAAACTATTCAGCACTGATCAAATATTAATCAGTATTTTGTCACTGCATTGCCTCATTTCTCACCTCAAATGTTTTCAGAAAGATGTTTTACTGTACTGTTTAGCTGTCAAATGAGAACATTTGTGACCCTGGCCACCATGTTGGATACACTTGACTAGAGTGCAGAGCACCGCCCACCAGCTGGAACCAGCTTCTCATTTTAAAGCTTCTGCACTGATTGGTTGATGCTGCTGCCCCACAGTCTGATTCTAGGTATACCATAAGAGGCAGGAGGAAGAGGTAAAGGGACATGATTTTTATTTTTTATTTATTTTACAGATTATCTGTCCATGTACTTCTTTTAGAATATAGTGACAGTTTCAGCAAATAGGACACAAAGTTATTTTCATAAAAGTTACCAACTGTAGCTTTAAACTGTCAGAGTTTTCTTACTTTTGCACTATTGTGCAGTTGTAAGTATAGACCAATTGAAGAGGACTGCATGGCATCATCACCCAACAGCAATCTCAACTATATAAAATAAAAGCATACACTGGCAAACAGAAGTTAAAGTACCCCTGGTCAAAACTTCTTTTACTGTGAATAGTTCAAGATAAACTGATTTCTGCTGTTATTTCTCCTTTACTGATTTCCAAAAGGCAAAAAGTTAAAGATGAAATATGCTATTTATTAGTTATTTTTGTTTTGTACAGTTTAAGAGTGGAAAAAAAGGACATTAGTACCTTGTCAAAGTTTGGGCACCCCAGGACATTTGAGCTCTCAGACAACTTCTAACAGGGTCTAAGACCTTAATTAGCATGTTAGGAATATGGCTCTTTCTCAGTCATTGTTAGGAAAGGCCAGGTAATGCAAATTTTGAATATTCTGACTCATAAAACCTTGTCCCAACAATCAGCAGCCCTGGGTTCATCTAAACACCTGCCTAGCATTCTGAAAACTAAAATAATTGATGCTCACAAAGCAGAACGAAAATAGCAAAGCATTTTAGGTGTCTGTCACCTCAGTTGGTAATGTACTGAAAAAATGGCAAGAGGCACAAGCTGAAGGTTTGGCCACGGCCCTCACAGTCCCCCAACCTAAACATCATTGAATATCTGTGGATAGACCTCAAAGGAGCAGTGAATGCAAGAAGGCCCAAGAATCTCACAGAGCTAGAAGCCTTCTGCAGTAAAGACAGGGTCGAAATCCCCCAAACAAGACTTGAAAGACTCTTAGCTGGCTACAAAAAAAGTCTAGAAGCTGTGGTACTTGCCAAAGGGGGCGATAATAAGTACTGACCATGCAAGGTGCTCTAACTTTTGCGTCAGGCCCTTTTCCTTTTCTTTTTTTTTTATGTTGAACGTGTAAAAGATTACAATGAAAAAAGTAATACTGCTTAACATGTTGGAAGAAATGTGACATCTTTAACTTTTTGCCTTTTGGAAATCAGGTCTTATACTTGCTTAGCTATACACAGTCCTGTGATAGTCTGGTAACCTGTCCAGGGTGTAAACCTGCCTCTTGTCAAATGTCAGCTAGGATAGGATAATTGAGTAGGAGCCAGTTTCAGCCTCAAACGTCAGGAAAAAATACATTTAAAAATAAAGATAATACAGCGACTTGGAAACTTTTGGTCGTGAATGTAAAGTATTTGTGATTCATAGTAAGTGAAGAAACCCTGCAGAGTTTTGAATTACTGTTGTTTTGTGTTAAATGATAGCTGAAAAGATTTCATGCACAGTGCACATTTAGTTGTGTGAATTTTATCAGCTGGCAAATAATATATCGTTTCTTATTTATACCTGACAGATCAATGCTGGTCACGCAGGGGAATATGGTGGGGCCCATGACCAAGAGGCAGCTGAAGGAGGAGCCTCAGCCCCTGACAGTAATGTGGAACCAAGAGAGGTGGAATACTCCGCCATTGACTTCTCCTTGTTAAATAGGACGAGTTCCAGGGGGGCAGATGATACACAAGGGACCACAGAGACAGAGTACGCTGAAATTAAGAACAAAGTTACAGAGGAGAGTCAAGACAGTGGTGGAGAGGAAGGGGAAATGTTGGAGGGCAATGAGGAAAAGGAAGTGATGACTGAGGAAGAAAAGGAGACAGAACAGTGTGTGTCTGCAGTGGAGGAGGGAGGTGAGGATGTGGCAGTGTACTCCAATGTAAATGAAAAAATGGGTGAGATGTGAGGACTGTGTAGCCTGGTAGAGTCTCAGTATGATAATTTTATTGAAGAAATGAGACAAACATGACAGATTATTTTATATAGACAGGAGTGGCATAACATAAATACAGTGAGATGAGTATCACATTTAACACAGGCATAAGTGCAAGCTGGGAGTTGATATAGTGCAGATATTAATGTTTAGATGTGATGCTAATGTAGGTTTCTTTTTACAGAAAGGACCACATGTATGTACATTAAAAAAAGCAAGTGAGATGTTAGAGACTGATTTCCAGGGTAGGTTTCAAATATAATATTTTCTAATGTGATGCCTAAAGACATGTCAACACCTCTACATGCTAGAGTCTGTGCTTTTACATTCATTAAACTACCATTAAATTATAGGTAATCACAACATGAGGTGACATCTATTTCATGTACAGAACACATTTAATCCACACAACTGCAGCTTCACATGACTGATCCTCAAATAAGCAATTCTGAACCGTATAAATACCAAAAAATAAGGCAAGGAAAAAAGTAAAAAGCTGTTTTTGTAGAGAAAATCTTTGGTGTCAAACATATGATTTATTTTCACTATCAGTAGTCAAGCTTTAAAACAATATGTTATTTATGTTATTGTTTAAGAAATACATGCAGCTAAAATTGCGCTTGAATAAACCAAAATCTAACATGTCATTAGTATCAAGACATAGGGCTCAGGGCTCATATTGTACAGAATGTCTTTGTTCAAATGTTGTCTATAAGTTTATGTTAGTTCATTCTAGGTTGATGAATAAGTTGCCATTATGGTGCTAGTGTCCACAGAGGGGGCACTGCAGCTCTTTTCAACCCAGTCACCAAAAAAAAATGTTGGCACTGAATGTTTCTGCAGACCACTTGAAATGTGACATTTGCACATTCACTATGTAGCCACTAAGTTTAAACAAAGTTGTGGTTAACATGTGGTTAGGTTTAGGCACAAGCACCACTTGGTCATGGGTATAACCTAGGTGAGTCGCCATTCGTCGTCACCTCAACCCCTCAGTGACGTCAGCTCATACATTACGTCACTTTACAAAGTTTGACATGACATGTATGACACGTGCAAATGTCTCGTATTTGTAGTTTGCAAAAATGTACATTTTCTTGTTGTGACTGGGCTGCGCTTTTGTTTTAAACCTTTATTTAAAGCAACAATACGTGTATCTGTGGCTCGGGAGGTGGAGCGACCAGGTCGTCTATTAAATGCAGGGCTGGACACTGAACCCTGACAGCTCTTGGTCATTTGTAACAAAAATTGTAAAGTGCTTTAGATTACAGCTCTGTACAAACGCAGTCTGTGTATGTGCACATTTCTGTGCCTCTCAGTGGTAGTTTGTCTGTACCTCAAGTGCTCTGCTGGATTTCCAGTGCCCCTATGTTTGCCTAAGCACAGCTCTGATCTTTTGGCTGGTGATCAGCTTTGCACAGAAATAAACATTAACCCTGTAACAGAAGAGCTGTACTTAGTATTTATTCTTTCATTTTTATTTCAGAGAGTCATTCTGTATGTATCACTTTGGTAAGGAAACTTAAATTTGCATAAATTCACACAACTATTGATGTGAAAAGAGAAGAATTAAAGAAATCAGCTTTAACAGTTCTCTGCAGAACTGTACTTCTTGTTTCTGTCTAACAAGTAGTTGCATAACTTCCCTTTTTAGAAATGTGTAACAGAAATCAACATGATGCTCATAGCTAAGAGTGAGCAGAGAGTTTGTTGCACAGGAAACATTGTAGGATTAAATTAGGTATAAGTATATTCTCAACCCTCATGATTCTCTCTTCAGCAGGTTCAGTGTTTAATATGTACATATATGTAGCTAAAGGTATTGATAGTTATAGTTTAGTAGCACAGCGGTAGAACAGGAAGTTATCAGAGACTAAAAATACAGTAATGCCATATCAGGAAATTCATCAAATAATAGCCAGTGACTTTGCTGAGAATAGTACCTACAGATGTTGCACGAGATACAAATACAGAAGTGCTTTCCAAGAGGCTCAAAATAAAATGACAGCAAACAGATATTCTGTAGGTATTTAATGCATTCATCAGTGGAAAAAGGATCAAATTAACTATTGGACCAACAAATGTTCACTGATCAAACGTATGAGTAATAAATATCTGCACAAAGAAAAGTTATTTCTAGTTGGTTGTTTCCCAAGATGACCAGAAAGTTTTTTACTTCTTGTTTGTGCATCCGCTGTAAACTTCCTCTTTCATACAAGTTTCATGTCTGTTCAGAGTCGTGAAAGTGGTACAAATAAATAAACAACTAAACAAAAATGGTTTGCCTTTCATTATTCAATTTTGAAAGTACAAATTCCCATGAGTATATATGAAGGATAATGTGATACTACAGTATGAGATTATAACTGCATTACAACATTCTAGTAGTCTAATGAGAGAAGCAACAACCCTTTGCATTAGGTGCTGTTTTTTTTGTTCAAAGAAGGAAGAGGTAGAAAGATGCTGAGAGAGAGTCAGTTTAGAGTGAAGTCACACAGCTGAGAAGAGAGCAGGAGAGTCAAACAGGTAAAACACCACATATACTATATTATTATATGTTTCTATATGAAATCTATTGAACTAAATAGTTACGCTACAATAAAGCTGGACAGTACAGAGACCACAGATATCTCTTGTTCAGAGCTGTTGCTGAGAGGTGTAAAATGAGGCCCTGGGGAATATTGTAGTCAAATTTATTATCCTCAGTGCAGAATAGATGAACATGCAACATCCTGTATTAACATCTGTGCTGTCAGCTGTGGAGCTGTGTTCCTGGTCCAGTTTGATCAACCAGACTTCCTGTATGTTTTTTGCACTTTTTCCATAAGGTGTTCGTGCCTTTGAAAGAAGGTGTTTGTGGAGGGAGAGACTGAGTGACTTAATCGTCAAATTAGGATGTTTCTTCTTGTCTGGGTGACTCTGCTCTTCGCTGTGGGAAGCAACTATGCCAACAAAGGTATAGTGTGTAGCTTTATTGCAATCTTGTTATGAGACCAAAATCAAATGTCCACAGTTAATAAATGTTTATTATAAATGTTTTCCTTTCACGCTTTAAAATTGCTTGCACAGTCACATGTATTCTGTTTTTAGTCGCTTAAATTTAGCTTAGCAGCTTGTTGAAGCTCAAATGGCCCACAAGACCTGACTTCTGAATAAATTAATTATTTATTTACTAAAGATAAATCCATTAGATATTTAAAAACCTAGTAGATATGCCGCAGAAATTTCCTTGATTCTACATTTTTAATTTATTAAAACTAACATCATAAAGTATGATCTATTTTTATTTTAAATAATGATGAAGCGATACCTGAGTGTCCCATCTTCTTAAATGTTTTAATGTTTTAAAACTAACATCATAATTTAGGCTTGTGTTAAGTAGTACAAAGCAGAAATTATGGTCTAGCTGAAATGGACTCCTCATGGAACACTATAACAGGGCTCAGTTACATTAAGCATGTTCATAAAGCCTGCTACAGAGTGGCGTCTCGTATTCATGGCAATAAATGCAACGTTACCAAACCCTGCAGTTATTTCTTTAGCTCTGTCATATCCATTAGGAACAGCTGCTTAAAAGCCACGGGGATAACATCAGCTTGTAGCATGTGTTTCCACCTACTGACACACTGGGGTGGTGTCAGCATTAATGACTTGATGTGTTTGAAGTATTCCTACCGATGTAACCTACTGTCGTGTAGCAGATGTGGCATACTGTTGATTTTTTTATCCACCACCCTCTTGCCATCATTCCCATAATTCATAGCAAAACCTAAGTAACTCCAAATGCCAGACCTGTAGGTTATTGGAAGATCTTCTACTTGTGGTCTGGGGATGGCGTTAGTAACCATCATGCAATGAGCTAGCTTAGCGTAGCGTGCCTCCCAGCATGTCTCACTGGAGTAGAATGTTTTAGTTTGGGGGTGGGAGGGGCAGACAGCACCTTGCCTGTTAAGTGCAGTAGCACTGAGAGCATTATGTGTTAGCACACAATTAACGCTGGACATTTTGTTTTCCCAATGTAATAGGATTAGTTTAACTAATTGCTCAGTTTGTAATGCATACCAAACCGAAAGTATCAATACAAATATGCATATTATTACACCCCTCATTGTTGTGCATGCATCATTTACTGTCTATGGTTCAGACAGGAACCTGACACCATTACTGACTGAAACCATATCACATCCTGCATCAGGAAACAGTTGTATTGGTCACATGCTACTACAATAGCATTGGTTGGCCTTCCACAGGTTCAGCAGCATTTCAGTGAAAGTCTCTCTTCTTTAGCAGGTAGATAGCCTGATGTATTATCACTGTCTACACATCCTGTGTTTCTAATTGTTTGTTTTTCCCTCTTTGTTTTAACAGATGCATCTCAAGAACAAACAACATGCTCTCAAAATGGACCCTGCGTCATGCTTAGTCATGCAGAACTAACAGCAGAGGCTGGACTCTGTGTTGTGATACCTTGTCATTTTACCACTGATCCTGACATCCCTTTGGAACTTAGAGTCTGGCACAAATGTGATCCTTCTAAACAGAACTGTAGTGATTCTGACATAGTGCTCCACTTGAACAACACCAGTCCTAATGCTCATACTGGGTCTAGAGTACGAGCGTCACTGTTGGAGCCTGATCTGAGCCAGAAGAACTGCAGCATCATCATCAATGACCTTAGTGAGTCCCTCTCTGGATCATATCATTTCAGACTTAATGGTATCCTGAATGGAACAGAGCAAAAATATGCATCTTCTGGAGCATATGTCACTGTAAAAGGTAAGAAGAGCCACAGCAAATGCTGTTTGCTTACTGAATATGTTTATTGTCATAACTAAAGCATATGTCAGCTAGGGTTGGGTACCGTTCACATTTGAATTGATACTGGTATCATTTCTGCTACCTGGAATTTGGTACTGGTACCTGTGCCGCGATGACACAGAAAGCATTTTTACCATCTTGAGGTGAGTTTTTGTAATTGTTTTTAATGAGAATGAGGCTTTTTGCTTGCTGTTTTTGTGTTGCTATGCGCCTTGTGTTTCTGCGCTCTAGGCACCTGGCGTTTTGCTGGAGAGCTCTGAACTCCTCGGTCGAAAAAAGCAGAAAAGTGCCCCATATCATCTCTGCTTTTTTCCTATTGTCCAGTCAGATGATTAGAACTGGACCTTCTGTGGTGGTCATGACAACAGGTTCACAGTTGGTAAATAATGGAGGAGAAACTGGTGGTAGCGGTTTCTGGATACCCAGAGCTTTATGGCCTGACGATAGACAGCAGTTTGTCAAACTGCCCCAGAGTCATCCTAAAATATGCCTGGAAACTGCCATCATGGAGGCGAAGCTCCTGGACCAGCTGATGGTGCGCCCAATGATCCATCCTCTTTTTTAAGGGTCTCGTGCTCCCACACCGAACTCCGTTTCCCTGTGCCCAGTGAACTATTTACCAACAGCCTCTCACCATTATAGTAACTAGCTACTAATTACTGTGAAATAAATGAATAAAAACAGTAGATTAAGTACATGGGAAGGTAAGGGTAAGGAGGTGTTTGCCTGGCAACAACAAAAAGGTGCAGGCAGCATTGTTTTTGCCAGTGGCATTCAATTTTTAAAAAAAATTAACGGCAGGGCAGTGCGTCTCGCGTTTTGCGTTTTGCGTTTTGCAAAAAGCTTCCTGTGTGATCGGGGCCCAAGATAGCTTTTTTGTACTTCACTTTCTCTGTAATAACAAAAATTTGATTTGTGTACAAGCTGCATGGCTGACATAGGAGATTAAAACACAGTTCTGCTCTATTCTAATCACACATAGAGCTAATATTTTGTCTCTGTACATCTACTTGTGTGTGTATGTGTGTCTGTTCATCTAGCAGTGATCCGAGGTTCTTACTAAAATGATATAGAAAAGAAAATTGACCAGACACCGAAACTATTGCAGCAGATCGGTGCTGCAGCAATACTTTTGGCTTGCTTGGAGGCCAATGGAGTGACCATGGAGCTCCGTTGCCAGCCTCAGAGCTCCATGACTGGCTTCCAGGCCTCACCTCTGACTGTTGTCTGAGCCTGGCAGTCTCACTCAGATGCTGACATTTGGCAGAGATGAATTTAACATGAATCGGTACTTGGTAATACCAATGTTATCTGGTCGGTACCCTTAAAAGTACTGAGTTCAGCACTCAACCCTGACGCCAACATATTTGGTTTTCATAAACCTTTAATGCACTGAAGTAATGTTTGGCCTCTACTGACGTCTGCGGGTGGCAAGTAGGGACAGCGACAACACTGATAGATTGAGCCACTTCTGCCATACCTTCTACTTATTGCCCCTTTGAAATATTAAGCAGAGTAGAGTACTATATAAGTCCTACTTGAAATGAATAATAACCTTCTGGTTAATCTGATACCACTCATGGACTGCTCTCCCATTAGGTCTGACCCAGAAGCCCACAGTGATGATTCCTTCTCTGACAGAGGGACAGCAGACCACACTGACCTGCACTGCTCCTGGTCTCTGCTCTGGATCTGTTCCTGAAATCACCTGGATGTGGAGAGGAGCAGGAGGGAAGGACTCTCACATCACAGGAAACAATACTGATGTCAAGACTGAGAATCTGACTGCTGTCACTCAGAGACACAGCTCAACTTTGACCTTTAACGCTTCAGCCAGACACCACGACACCAATGTCACCTGTAAGGTCAGCTTTGCAAACAGCATCTCAACAGAGGAGACGGTGACTCTGAACATCAGCCTGAAAGGCAACACGGCTACAGAGAAAATGACGACTCCTGACGTGACCAGTGAGTAGCACATGTTCTTCATACTCTCACATTCTTTTGACTTTGCAGAATGTTAGAGAAGCTCTCCCAGCTCAGTGTAGTTATCTCGTATTCATGGCAATAAATGCAACGTTACCAAACCCTGCAGTTCTTTAGCTCTGTCATATCCATTAGGAACAGCTGCTTAAAAGCCGCGGGGATAGCATCAGCTTGTAGCATGTGTTTCCACCTACTGACACACTGGGGTTGTGTCAGCATTAATGACTTGATGTGTTTGAAGTATTCCTACTGATGTAACCTACTGTCGTGTAGCAGATGTGGCATACTGTTGATTTTTTTATCCACCACCCTCTTGCCATCATTCCCATAATTCATAGCAAAACCTAAGTAACTCCAAATGCCAGACCTGTAGGTTATTGGAAGATCTTCTACTTGTGGTCTGGGGATGGCGTTAGTAACCATCATGCAATGAGCTAGCTTAGCGTAGCGTGCCTCCCAGCATGTCTCACTGGAGTAGAATGTTTTAGTTTGGGGGTGGGAGGGGCAGACAGCACCTTGCCTGTTAAGTGCAGTAGCACTGAGAGCATTATGTGTTAGCACACAATTAACGCTGGACATTTTGTTTTCCCAATGTAATAGGATTAGTTTAACTAATTGCTCAGTTTGTAATGCATACCAAACCGAAAGTATCAATACAAATATGCATATTATTACACCCCTCATTGTTGTGCATGCATCATTTACTGTCTATGGTTCAGACAGGAACCTGACACCATTACTGACTGAAACCATATCACATCCTGCATCAGGAAACAGTTGTATTGGTCACATGCTACTACAATAGCATTGGTTGGCCTTCCACAGGTTCAGCAGCATTTCAGTGAAAGTCTCTCTTCTTTAGCAGGTAGATAGCCTGATGTATTATCACTGTCTACACATCGAGAGCATATGGTCTCTCCGAAATCTTATGCAAAAGTTCAACTTTATTAGTATACTCCAGGCAGATTCTGTACTGAGGAAAAAAGAAACATATGGAGGAGTTTCTCAAACACATCAGAAATGAACAGACTTCTGGTTGATGCACATTCTTATGCAAAGATATGCGAGAATGAGACGTAAGGCTTTTGTTGTCAGCTTCAGATCAATGCCGTATGTTACGAATATTTTAGACTGCATTATCTAATAAATAAAAATAATTTGTCCATTTTTGTCTCATAGATGTGAAGAAATGTGAAATAACTGGAAAGACAAGTGTAAATGAGGGGGATGTTCTGAATCTGACCTGCAGTTTTGAGAATTTCCCTCCGTCTCTTGTCATGTGGAGTAAAGTCCCATCCAAGAAAAACCTGAACAGTGTACCTGATACTAACCTGCAGAACAGCACTGGATCAGCCACTCTTGTCATCCCTAATGTAACAGCAGAACATACTGGACAGTACATCTGCACAGCAACACATCTGAACAAAACTCTGACTATGTATGCCAATGTCACTGTGATTTGTAAGTAGACTTTGAAGTAGATCCTCTTTACAGGAAAATTATCATATTCTGCCTACTCTACTATCAGCTCACTGTAAACTTTATCCGATGTTGTGATGTTTGCAGTGTCTCCAAAGATCCTGAAGAGCTCCGGATGCATTCATCAGTCAGAGGTCCTGACTTGTGTGTGTATTAGTGAAGGGTTTCCTTTGCCCACCATTAAATGGCCACTGTTGGAGAACCACACTGAGTATTCAGTCCTTATCACCGTGTCAAACCACACGGTCAACAGCACTGCCACCCTGACTGTAAAAGACCACAGCACTTCTGTTGAGTGTGTCAGTAGCAATACAAATGGGGAAGCAAAAGAAAACTTCATCATAAGCAATGCAGAACAGAAACAAAAAGAAGAAGGTAACAGCTCAACCTTGAAATGTTCTTTTTTTTGTAATCTCTGTATTATGACATTCAAGAAGCAACAGTGGCCTCAGTTTTGTTTTGTTTATAACAAGCTGTTCCTCTTGTTTCTAGGTGAAGTCATAAAAGTGTTACGAATTATCACACGGTGGGAAATTATCATTGCATTTTCGGTTGGCGCCTTTCTATCTGCAATCATTTGCTGTTTGGCAAGAAAATGTCACAGGTACACTTTGACGCTCTGATTCATGTCTTGTTATTTTTTACTTTTTTGCTGATATTTATTTGTTTATCTGATTATTCCAAGTGTTGTTCATGTAAAATGTTAATTTGTAAGTCATAAAGGGTGCTATAAAGAACAGTGCATGCTTTGAAAATGATCATAAGTAATGGAAAATATTAATTTATTGGAGCAAGTGGGCCAAAACATGTTAAACTATTACAATGGTACTTAATAGTTTGTTATGTGAGATAAAAAGTCACTTGTTGTATTTGTCTGTTAATATTTGTGCTTTTTATAAACATCTCTCCTCAGAAAAAAACAAAGGATATATGGAAATCTGGCCGAGACTCTGGAGATGGTGTCAAGTCACGAGGATCCTCCGGTATTTATATTTATACAGCTAGTCATATCATACATTTGTAAAGCTGGAATGTGTAGGATTTGACTTTTGTGACACCTTGTGGCAAAATTGAAAAATACACCCTGATAAAGAGAAGTGCAGGAGTTTTCAGTAGGTGGAGAAGCTTCAGTAGCTTCTTCAAGTTGAGCCATCTGAGGATTGCCAATCAGGATTTCCAATTATTTTGCACTGTAGCAGCTGATGAATGACTTACCATATTTTGTGGACCTGACAGGTAGATGCTGGTCAAGCAGTGGAAGATTATCAGGCCATCGACCAAGTGGCAGATGAAGCAAGAGGAGCCGTGGCGGCGGGGAAATCGGAAGTGGAGTACTCTAAGATTGATTTCTCCCTGATTAAAAGGAAGGATCCAGAAGAGGCAGGAGAGACACAGGGGACCACTGAGACAGAGTATGCTGAAATTAAAGAACTAAAGAAAATTAAAGAAGAATCAGAGCAGGATCAAGATGAAGAGGGTGAGGAGGAAATGACTGGTGAGGATGAGGAGAAAAAACATAGTGAACCAGAGGAGAAGGAAGGTGAAGGTGAAGGTGAGGATGTGGCACTGTATTCCAGTGTTAAGAAAACAAATAAATAAGTCAGATCTGATAGTGCTGCTTAGGTGTTTGAAGATCAAGATTACTTCTGTAATTTGCTCTGATTAGATGACTTCTTGCTGTTGTGTGATTTTTTTTTTCCTGCAACATATTCATTGATTTTGTGGTTTTCAAAAGCTAAATTGAGCCTGCGGTAACCCTCAAATGATATTGTGTAACTGTCATAAGGTAGTACTAGTCATAAGTGAGTCAGCTTTGTACAGTAGCAGCATTGACCACTGTGCAGTAGTTTTTAAAAAGTTGTATTAGTACAGAGATTTGTAGGTAATTTTTTGGACCTACAAGAGCAGCTGTCATTCAAATTACATTGTTACCACAACAAAAGTACATATTACATGTACAAATCATACGTAATAAAGATATTTGTACCTTCTTGTGACCTAACTCAACATTCAAGACCTACTCTAAAGACTATAGAACTAAGAAAAGGTAAAAAGCTGATAAAAGTTACCAGCTACAGCTTTAACTGCTGAATATAGCAATTTTAACATATTATTGTGCTCTATATAGTATTATTTTTAAAGACCAGAGAGCTTATATCACATACAAGGACAATTTTTCAGGATTTAGCGACATCTAGCAGTGAGGTTGGAGATTGCTACCAGCTGAATACCCTCAGTTCACCCCCATTTAAAGAACTTTTGTTGGCCTTCAGGTAACCATAGATGTATTGGGGCGCCCGATGGCTCAGTGGGTAGAGCATGTGCCCCATGTACAAAGGCTGTGTCCTGGCTGCAGCCTCGACTCTGGCTTACAGCCCCTTGCTGGGTGCCCCTCTCCTTCCCCCATCACGCTTAATATCTGTCCTGTGGATTAAAGACAAAACCTTGTCTGCAGTTTGAGATGTCCTGTCAGTAGTTTCATAGATCTTTTTCCCTGCAATACTGTGAATTGAAAGCGAGGCGCAAGAGGCCCTCTTTACAGGCAGTGCTAGGTTTGTCCATTCTGGGCTACTGTAGAAAAATGCCAGTGAAACATTGCTAACCCTTCAGATATGAAGGGATCATTCTAAGGTAATAAAAACACATGATTCTTAGTTTCAGGTGATCGTACACTAAAAAAACACAGCTGAGAATATTATATTCTGTTTCTGCTAATAGATCTGGATTACGGGTCCTTCAAGTTATCTGAGAATTTAGTTCAAATTACTTTGTATTTGATATGAACACACATATAAACCCAAATTTACAGCACTGTCTTCTGCTGTCACAAAGACGGGAAATCACTGTGTGAGAGGATGTGAGCCTAAAATAGCATCTGAAACACCAACCAGGTGTCAGTTGTTTTGCATACTTGGTTCCTCATAAAAGGGAAGAAAGCAAAAATCTGTGGCTTGGCTTTTAAGAGGCTCACATACAGTATACATGCCTCCTTCAACTTTATTGACATTACTCAGTTCCTTTTTATTGGTAATGCCCCTGTAAGGCCTATGTAGGGAAACCCAAAATTCACAGTAAATGAAAAGAAAATGAAACTGTCATACTGCTGATTATGTTTTTTGTGTTTCAAGGTGGTAGGCCAGATTCTGAAATTCAAGTCTTTAAACCTGAATTGAAAATAGGTAATCTGTCCTTTTCCAGATCTGTCACACTTAGGCTGCATTCACAAATGCCAATCCTGCATTCACTGATCACTGGTGATGAGACTGGAAAAACTCCCACAGTCCATGGAAACAAGTAATACAATCTCTTTCTATCATTAGATATTATATTGAGTAAAAGAAATATAGCATATTAACAGCTCATGTGCAGCCTGCTGTCCTACAAAGGAGAGCACACACTGTGTGTGCATGCATTTATGTCAGTATTGATACTACACTGATGATAATTAAAAGTCTCTAGATCTTTCAAGCCAACATAAACAAACTTACTAAGACAAATACTCACTTGCTTAGACTGAGAGAGTGGTTTTCTCTCCACCCACACACAAAAGGGCCATTTAAGTGACACTCCCACACCGGCCCACAACCCTGCAGCTTATTGCTGCAAAATCTGATTTGCTGTGAATGCAGTCTAAAAATTTGTTGTAAAATTTAGGAAATTAAAAATACTTGGTTAAGGCTTTAAGTTTAATTTATCTCCGTCAGATTTTTTGTTGCCATTTTTGCATTTATTTTTGACTGTTAAAAGTGTAGAGGGACAGGAAAAAGTGGAGAGATGGGGTTTGACATGTAACAAAGGTCCCCAGCTGGAGTCAGATCATGGATGTTGGGGTAATGCAATATGCACCTTAACCGTTCAGCAGTCAGGTCACCTCATAGCTCCTTTTCCGGTTTATATTGATAATAAAATGTATATTTTTAGGTACTTAATAGCTACTGATGACTGTTTGGTCTTCCTCTCCTGTCTGGACATGAACAGTTGTACTAATTAGTAAATATTTGCACTGTAATAATAGCAATGATAATAATGTAAGATGTTTTAAATATAAATGTTAATGTAACATAAATGATGCTGTATTTTAAAAATGTGTTTTTGTATTATATTTTTTATGTGCTTGTAAATGTGTGTATGCTTATGCATTAAATAAAATAGATTTACATAAACACACAGTGTGCATGAATGTGCTTAAAGTGATTTTGGATTAAGGCTGAGCTAACAGGATTAGAATGTTCCACCAGCTGGACAGACACCTTTAAATAGTTCAACCTGACGCTGCTGGTGCATTAGAGCTGCAGAAGATTCAACATTTGACAAACAAGAACAAATATTTCATCCAAAGGGCCGATTCTCTAGATTTGTAGGTGAGTGTGTGCTTTATGGTTTTGATCTGAAACTTGCTAGAAAGTCAAAATTTGATTGGTTAAATGTACCATGCAAACCTTTAGTTTAAGTGTAAACATGATATACAGCACTGCTAAATGAGCAGGTTTACTGTGACACCAGAAATATATTTTGCTTTGACATTTCTTTTAGGATGATTATGTTACATGGTTACTATTGAAAATCTGCCAGTGTTTTTAGTTTTTATTAATGATGTTAGATGTCATCATATCTATTGGTACATCTCCGGTATGATAAAGTAGATTGGCTTTAACGTTTGCAGATATCTTTAAGTATCCATGTGGTCTTCCTGGTCTGCACTTTATTAAATAATTGTGATCTTCATCTGTTCACAGACATGGCTGATGTTTTGAAAAGCCTGAACCTCCTTGAGACCCTGAAAGAGTCCATAGAACTCAATAAGTTATCAGATGTCAAGGATGCAGTTGAGGATCTCCTGATCAGCAGGATCAACTTAGCTGTGATAGGGGACCGTGGGGATGAAAAAGCCACCTTTATAAACTCCCTCCGAGGCCTCGGTCCTGGGGACGATGGAGCAGCGCCGTCTCAGTCCACTGTTGCTCCGGAGGAAGTGGCAGGCTACCCAAACCCTAAACATCCTGACTTTCGGCTGTGGGATCTGCCACCCGTCCCATCCACCTCTCCATTTGAACCCGAGGGATACATGGATAAATTTAAGTTCCCGCGCTACAATGCTGTCGTCATGACATTCACACAGACGCCCCAACCCAACAGTGTGGAGGTGTTCCTGGAGGCTCGGTCACTGCAGCAGCAAACCGTGTACTTTATTCTCTTAGCTTCAGCAAAAGACACAGAAAAGAGCCTGGAAGAAAAGAGGAAAGCCAGTGTGGACGTGCTGACATCACAGGGTGTGACACTGCCGAAAGTCTACCTGGTGAGACCCTCCACCCTGGAGAGGTTTGACTTCCCTGGTCTGTTGGAGGACATGGGAAGAGACCTTCCAGAGATCAGAGCCCACGCCCTTCTCTTTGCTCTCCCGACGCTTACCTCCGCTCTGGTCACTCAGAAAAAAGAAGCATTCAAAGCACTAGTGTGGGCTGCCGCCTCGCTATCTGGTGGAGTGTCGGCTATTCCTGTTCCCCTTGTGGCCTCTATGGTGGACTCAAGTGTAGCAGTGCGCATTCTAACCAAAGCACAATTATCACTGTGCCTGGACGATGAATCAGTCGAGCGGCTGGCCCGACAGCGAGGCATGGACCCCACAAGGCTCAAAGGACTGCGGACTTGTGTCCTGTCAGTGGAGGTCAGTAAAGGTGAAGTGAAAAAGCGGCTGGTGGCGGCAGAGAAGGACTTGGCCACGGTTTCGTCAAAGCTGGTGGAGATGGCGATGCCCAGACATGCCCGCTCTGCCAGTCGCTCATTTGCTGCCATGCTACAAGCCTTAAACGGCGCCATTGATGAAATGGCAGCTGACGCTGAGAAGATAGTGGCTGTTGCTCTTGTGGAGGGGAAATGAAGAAAAATGTTTTTATCTTTGTGTAACGTTTCCTGTTTACACGTGGTTTGTCTTTACTTTTCTGTTTTGGTATATAAGGAAGGCACTTTTAATGCAGTACTGCAGAAACGTTTATATTTCACTGTTTTTCAGAGCTTAAATTATTAAAAGGACACATTAAATACTGCATTAGCGTATGTTCTGCAAACAGAAAAAGACTTGGCCCACCCTGTACAGCAGCTTTCACTATTAGCAAAAGGCATTAAATAGAGGAAGTGAGAGGAAGTTGCATGCACACTGTAGCAGGCAAGTTGAAGAAGAAAATACATTATCACCTTCATCAGTTTGTCTATAAAAGATTGTGTTCTCAGGCTTGCATGGATGGGCATGCAAATTTCACAAGATTTTAAGTCAGCTGTGAAAACTTCCTTTTTTTAAATCTTACTCTTACTTTAGGAGAGATGGTGTGTGCTGCAGGCTGCTATAAGTGGATCCTCTGAGGTAAGAACAAGCTAATTTTGTATCTTTCACCGTGAAATACTTACTGTGTTTGACCGCCTGATTTCACTGAATGAGTTATCTCTGTCTGTGATGGTTTATCTCAGTCATGAAGGATGTACAATGTCTGTGTCTAGAGAAAGTTTTGATTTCTAAATAAGCCCTTCAATTGAATGGGAAAATTGATTCAGTTGATTTGCGTTCTCAAAAACATGTTATCTTGGTGTATCCACAAATGTACAGGATTTGGCATTTGTATGTAAATACTGTTTGTGGAGCATTTAAGAACACCAAATCTGTAAAATAAAAGCACTTTACTGTTTGCACTCTAAATATTCTGTGTGCTGTATTATGGATGTTTTTTAAATGCACTACTGGTGGAGCAGATGAAAGTGATCTAACCAAACAGTTGATGTCAAATACGATGTTGCCCCAAGTCCTATTTTAGGTAATAATGGAAAAAGAAACCTGAAGCCTCAAATTATAGATATGTTTTGGGCTCAGCTGTATACAACAGACAATTACAACTACAGTGCAACACATTTAGCCTTAATATTTCTTAATGAAGTCTTTTTCTCTCAGTCTTTTAATGAAAACAATGACACATTCTGCTACGTGTGAGGGGAAAAAATAACTTACATTTTTGCAATACTGGAGGATTCCCCACACTCTTGAATTGAGGAAGACAGAAAAAAGAGGAAGAAGAAAATCTTGTAACTCGTTTGCATTTAAAAAATGCAAATATAGTTTACAGTAAAAAAAAAGAAAAAAAAAAAGGCTCTATGTTGTTATGATGTATACAATAATGTAAACATTTTTTGTGTTGCAGATATCAAGCTTGAGTGCCTCACAAAAATGAATGCTCTGACAGTCGGGTGGTTTGTAATTCTGGCCCTAATAAAAAGTAGGAATTTTATTTCTCCACTATGATAATAATAATTTGTTTTAGCAAGATTTGATTTTAGGTCATATACCTGACTTTCCCACTTGTGTTTTTACTGCCACAGATTTTTCTTGTACCCAACCATACTTCACAACAGAGGTTACTCCCGTGACTGGTAAAGAGGGGTCCTGTGCTGAAATTCAATGCAATGTCTCTAAGGAAATTGAGACTGATGGAGCATACTGGTTTTGGATAAAGAATTCAACTTGGTCAGAAAAAGATGGATGGTTGGGCACTGTCATTTACAGCACAAATGACGCAGAACGTCCTGTCAATTCAGACTTTAAAGGCAGAGTGGAATATATCGGCTCTCCACCTTCAAGTTGGAAGGATTATAGTCCAAACTCACCAAAGTCCTGCAATATTTTAATCTGTAACCTGAGCAAAACTGACAATGGAAATTATTCTTTCAGATATGAAGGAAAAGATAGGGATAAATGGAAAACTGAGCCATCAGTGATCCTCACTGTTAAAGGTAAGTAGAATGATCAGAATACTGGAAGATATTTTCAAAAAATACACAGCAAAAAAATGAGTGATGCAAACATTATGAGATGAGCCGGTCTGAAGGCAGAAAGAGTGGGACTGGTTGAGACTGAAAAATATAAAGATAAGAAAAACAATGTTAGAATAAATGTTAAAAAAAAAATCCGGAGGGAGACTGCACTGCTTCCCTCTTCTGTGTGTCTTTCAATGCCACATTGAGATCTCATATAAGTTTCTAAGACAGAGGTTTTGAGAACACACAACACCATCCAGTCTAGGGTTGGGTATCGTTTAGGTTTTATCCGATACCGGTGCCAAACCGGTACTTTTGAAATGGTGCCGGTGCTTAAACGGTGCCTGAACTGGTACTTAAAGAAAGGAAAACATACAAACTTTGTCCAAAAACAGTGCCTTTTTATTAAGGCATTTTGTGACACACAAGTTGAACAGAATATTAATTTAAAATCCTTAAATAATATAAATACAACAGACTAAGAAATTAACTGATATAAAAATTCACAACAAACTGTTAGAATTATCATAATAAAAACAGCAGCATATCAAAACCAGCAGCAATACAGAATACAGAGAACATGCAAAAAAAAAAAAAATCACAAACTGTTATAATTATCATAATACAAACAGCAGCATATCAAAACCAGCAGCAATACATTTACTCGACGTAAATTACACATTAACAACATTAAGTTACTCACCCGAAGAAGAACGGCTGCTGTCATCATCTGTAGCGTCAACGACACTGGCAGGGCTGGGAGTGGGACTCTCTTCTCCGGGGATGCTGCTAACTCCAATAGCGGCAGAAGATGTGCTTGGTGTGGGGTCTCGCGGGCTATCAAAGACGGTGCATTGCTCGGCTTTTAAAAAAATGCCATGCGTCGTTAGATGCTTAATCAAATTCGAGGTGTTACCTCCCTTGCACAATATCGCCTTCGAGCACTTGTTGCAGGCAGCAGAGTCTGCATCTTTTGAGGTGAAGTGCAGCCAAACTTTCGACCGTTTCGCCTTTGGCATTTTAGGTTCACTTCAATCCAGTCAAGGGTGATTGTGTGCAGGTGCAGGTGAAATATAATGATGTGACGTCACGTGTAGCGCACATCCACGGCTGCCCAATGAGCTGGATGCACTTCTCGGCAGGGATCCAAAACTCTGCATAACACCGGCATGGCAATAGAGGTAAGGGGGTGGTAATGAAAAATTCAGTGGCACCGAAATGAAGCACCGAAATCTGCGTTGCTTTATGGTCTGATTACTACCGTTTACGTCGGCACCGGTGCCTTCATGGTTCTGGGTATCGGTACCCATCCCTAATCCAGTCTAATTTAGATTTATGTTGATAAAGATCTCTGTTTGAAATCCTTTCAAAATGGCTGACAAAGATCTCTGTTACTGATCTCTATTACTGGGAGCTTTTAATACAGTGTGCAGATCTCCTGTGTGGTTCTTGCTTTATTTGCTTGATTTTTTGATCCAGCACCTGTCAAAGTTTTTTGGATGTGCGTGTCACTCACCCTGCTTAACCCTCTTTTCAGTCCCATGCTAGGACAGATTAAGATAATATCATTTAGTGCATTGATTCTCAACTGGTGGGCCACGTTCCAAAAGTGGGTTGGGGGTCCATCCTGAATGGACCACAAATGACTCACGAACGTGTTGAGTTTGTAAAAAAAAAAAAAAAAAAAAAAAAAATCTTTATTTTGAAATCAAGTGAAATCCCAACACAGAGGTTTTATTTTGAAGTGCAGTTTCCTGCTGTAGAGTGAGTGACTAACAGACAGCTACTTGACAGAGACAGCAGACTAGCCCAATGACATGGCCAAGCACAAGTATGATGCTGAAGATATTAAACTGTGTGGACCTTGAACTAATGACTAAGGGAAAGTCTGGACCCAGTGGCCGGACCAGCTGGGAACCACTGTGTTTCAAGATTTAATCTGAACTCTGTGGTTCCTTGGCTCATGAGTTTTAACTCAGCCATTAACATCAATTATGACTCTGGTGTAGTTTTACTAAATCACTAATCCATTTTACTACCTACTTCTATGTATCTATGCAGAGTATTTGATGCAGAAAAAGAATAATTGAATTGTTTTTTTTATTTTTTATTGTGATACTGTATTAATACTAATTTACTAACCTTTGTCATACTGTAGATATTCACCATTATACTTTTGTCTCATTTTCATATTTTCAGAAAATCCATGCCCACTCACTTTCGAGAAACCACCCATTCTAAATGAGTCGGAGATTATAACGCTCACATGCTCTACTTCAAGTTCGTGTCCTTCAAACCCAGAAATTGAAGGTTTGACACAGCTGACGCCAACTCCGACCTCAAAGCCTCAGCAAATAGAGGAAAAGCAGAAAAGCACCACAGTCAGTTTTCCAGTCGACTGGCAGGATGATGGGAAGACGTTTTCATGCAAAACACTAGATGACGAATATTTGATTCAAAATATCAGTATAACTGTCGAATGTAAGTTCATAAGGTTTATTTATGTCACGTCTACATTACAGTGGACTTATTTAACAAACTGTGATCCAAACGTACACTAAGGGTTGCACCTGCACCCAAAATCAAAACCCAAGTTTGGAGCCCTTTCAAATGAATCAAAAAGTATTTTAACACAGGAGCAAATACAAGGTAACGAGTCATGAGCCTAAGTTATTAATGTTTTGTGATGCTGTTTTTGTAATTGTTAAAGGTATACTATGCAGGATTGTGGGTCACTATTTATTAAAATACTCGCCAATGAAAGTAAAAGCTCTGACTTCACCTGAGTGCCATGGGGGGGTTACATGCCCACAAATGTCCTGAGCACAGAGAATAATATAATACAGGCACAGGGCAGCGTCTCTGCAGAAAAATACACCACCACACACTTCAAGTGGGTCATTAGTAGTGATTGAGAGGGATTACCTCTGTGTGAGTTTAGGAAAATCCTGCATAGAATACCTTTAACATCAGAAATATTTTTAAACTAAGCAGTAGGAACAGGCCTACATTTTCAACTCTGATCAGTTGACAAGTGTTTTGTTCACAACTCAGACTATATACCTCTGAATTATATGATCAATAATATTAAACATTGCATTTTTTTGTGTGTGTCAAACCTAAACTAGACATGCAATATTTGGAAAAGAATACTTAAACTAACAGTGCCTACTGGCTGTATCTGCACCGCTTTTAAATGCTTCTTCTTATAATAACAGTATTAACAAGCTAATTGTTTTGCTTTTAAGTAGTAATATTAAGATAAGGAATTATGAACGTTTTGAGCAGCTGATACTTAATTTGAAAGGTCTCAAAAACTGGCATGCAATACAACTTTCATAGCACAGTTTTCATGCGCACTGAATAAATAAACAGCTTAGTTATATGTACAGTACAGGCCAAAAGTTTGGACACACCTTCTCATTCAATGCGTTTTCTTTATTTTCATGACTATTTACATTGTAGATTCTCACTGAAGGCATCAAAACTATGAATGAACACATGTGGAGTTATGTACTTAACAAAAAAAGGTGAAATAACTGAAAACATGTTTTATATTCTAGTTTCTTCAAAATAGCCACCCTTTGCTCTGATTACTGCTTTGCACACTCTTGGCATTCTCTCCATGAGCTTCAAGAGGTAGTCACCTGAAATGGTTTTCCAACAGTCTTGAAGGAGTTCCCAGAGGTGTTTAGCACTTGTTGGCCCCTTTGCCTTCACTCTGCGGTCCAGCTCATCCCAAACCATCTCGATTGGGTTCAGGTCCGGTGACTGTGGAGGCCAGGTCATCTGCCGCAGCACTCCATCACTCTCCTTCTTGGTCAAATAGCCCTTACACAGCCTGGAGGTGTGTTTGGGGTCATTGTCCTGTTGAAAAATAAATGATCGTCCAACTAAACGCAAACCGGATGGGATGGCATGTCGCTGCAGGATGCTGTGGTAGCCATGCTGGTTCAGTGTGCCTTCAATTTTGAATAAATCCCCAACAGTGTCACCAGCAAAACACCCCCACACCATCACACCTCCTCCTCCATGCTTCACAGTGGGAACCAGGCATGTGGAATCCATCCGTTCACCTTTTCTGCGTCTCACAAAGACACGGCGGTTGGAACCAAAGATCTCAAATTTGGACTCATCAGACCAAAGCACAGATTTCCACTGGTCTAATGTCCATTTCTTGTGTTTCTTGGCCCAAACAAATCTCTTCTGCTTGTTGCCTCTCCTTAGCAGTGGTTTCCTAGCAGCTATTTGACCATGAAGGCCTGATTGGCGCAGTCTCCTCTTAACAGTTGTTCTAGAGATGGGTCTGCTGCTAGAACTCTGTGTGGCATTCATCTGGTCTTTGATCTGAGCTGCTGTTAACTTGCGATTTCTGAGGCTGGTGACTCGGATGAACTTATCCTCAGGAGCAGAGGTGACTCTTGGTCTTCCTTTCCTGGGTCGGTCCTCATGTTTGCCAGTTTCGTTGTAGCGCTTGATGGTTTTTGCGACTCCACTTGGGGACACATTTAAAGTTTTTGCAATTTTCCGGACTGACTGACCTTCATTTCTTAAAGTAATGATGGCCACTCGTTTTTCTTTAGTTAGCTGATTGGTTCTTGCCATAATATGAATTTTAACAGTTGTCCAATAGGGCTGTCGGCTGTGTATTAACCTGACTTCTGCACAACACAACTGATGGTCCCAACCCCATTGATAAAGCAAGAAATTCCACTAATTAACCTTGATAAGGCACACCTGTGAAGTGGAAACCATTTCAGGTGACTACCTCTTGAAGCTCATCGAAAGAATGCCAAGAGTGTGCAAAGCAGTAATCAGAGCAAAGGGTGGCTATTTTGAAGAAACTAGAATATAAAACATGTTTTCAGTTATTTCACCTTTTTTTGTTAAGTACATAACTCCACATGTGTTCATTCATAGTTTTGATGCCTTTAGTGAGAATCTACAATGTAAATAGTTATGAAAATAAAGAAAACGCATTGAATGAGAAGGTGTGTCCAAACTTTTGGCCTGTACTGTAAATGATGTTTAGTGTTGACCAGTTTCTCCTGACTTGTATTTACTTTTTTCATACAGATGGTCCCAGAGAAACACAGGCTAAAAAAAGCCTTGATACTGTTGTTGAAAATCAACCTGTGACACTCACTTGCTCTGCAAAAGGACGTCCTGACCCCACCTTCATCTGGTTTAAAAATGAACACAAGGAATTTACAGGGGCAGTATGGACGATCTCATCAATTAAGGAGTCACAGAGTGGAGAATACCATTGTGAGGCTAAAAACACACATGGCAAAGAAAAATCAAACCCAGTTAATATAACTGTTGAATGTGAGTACTTCCTGTGTTTTACCTCAATGTATTTTGGTGTGTTTGTGATTCTTGGTAGCTTCTGTAATGCCGCTGTACATTTTTTGTCAACGTACTCTGATATTTGTACATAACAATAATCTCGAATGATACATTTTCTTGTGATTTACAGTAAATTATTCTCAGTCCATTATTATTGTGAATCAGCCTAACAAAATAATTAAATCTTCTGTTTCAGATCTGCCTGAGGTTGAGGTGATTCCAGCTCCTTCTCTAGTTAAACAAGGAGATAAAATGACTTTGACATGTAAGGTGAAAAGAAGCAACCCAAAACCTACAACCTATAGGTGGTTTCTGAATGAGACAATTATTAATCAAAAGAAGACTCAACATTATGTTGTTGGAACAATCAGGCCTGAGGACAGAGGCCTCTACACATGTCAAGCCACTAACACCGTCGGTGCTGGAAAAATATCCAAACCTGGTCTTATTGACGTTCAATGTAAGTTTCACAGCTCCTTGTGGTGCATGTATATCAGAGCGTCGATGATGACAGAGAAAAGCATACTAAGTTATTTCTTCCCTCTAGATGGCCCGAGGAAGACGAACATATCCATGGGTAAAGAGGATAAAAGAGTGAGAGTTGGTGAATCTTTAACATTCACCTGTAACACTGATGCCAATCCTGCCGCTGAGACGTACTCCTGGTACCGATTCAACACAAATAAACAGACTGACTCCTTACAGTGGAAGTCCAAGACAACTTATGGCAGTACTCTGTATTTGGGCAATGTACAAAGAGCTGATGAAGCATATTACATGTGCAACGCAACCAACCACATCAGTACAGGGAAGAATAGTGAGCAAGTGTATATACAAGTACTCTGTAAGTAACTGTGTTTCGCTGAAAAATTTCTGTCATACTGAAGTTTCTCTTAACTTTTAAATCAAGTTTGAGTATATAAAGAAAAGATTTTACGCAATATGATTTTTACATTCTGTATTTTTTCATCATTTCATGTCTTTTGAAAGTCAATAATGTAGCGTTTTAGAAGACATGCTTAATCGTTTTCTGGCAGAGAGTTAATCTGTGTGAGAAGATAAAATCAGCTCTCACATTTGTGCAGTTAATATGAAGTGAGAGCGGGCAGCTGGTTAGATAAGTCTAGCGTAACACGGGAAACAGCTATCCTGGCTCTGTCCGATAACAACGGTAATCTACCTCCAAGCACCTCTAAAACTGACAAATTAAAATGTTTGAATTCAAAAAGTGGAAAGAAAAATCAATTCGCCATTTTACAACAAGCAGTTGCTTCCAGTCTACAAAAGGTCCAGCACATAGCCCTGCATAAAATGGCAAATTCTGATTTTTACATTCTAGTTTCTATGCAGATTAATTAACGTGTCACTTAGTGAACTTTGGAGATACTGGTTTGCAGAGTTTGTTTCCTTTGGACACAGCCAGGCTAGCTGTTTCCAGTCATTATGCTAAGCTAAGTTAAACTGCTGCTGGTTGAAGCTGTATATTTAACAGACAGTTGTGAGAGTGGTATCGATCCTTACATCTAACTCTCTGCCCATAGGCGGAATTTATGTTTGGGATGATGGGAATATGTCCCTACGACTTTTCCCTACGCTAATTTCATTATTAATTGTATGTGCGTTTCGATCAGATAGCCTTTAATTTCCATCGGATCTTCTGGATGGGAAATAATTTCAACTGGTGTTTGTGTGCTTTGTTTCCACCTGCTTTACATGCAACAGTATAATTGCTGGTGTGTATTTTGGATGACTCATTGTTTAACAGAGGACATGGCACTGAGGCTGGAGTACATGAAAATCCAGGCTGTTGTCTTGCAGGTGCTTCACCTTGAGATCATAATGTTACAGTGCTAGTGTCAGATGAAACATATTGATTGTTAAGTGATAAGAAAAGGCAGCTGCCCTGTGCTGGCTAACTCACAACAGGCCAGACTGTCTATAAATTAGATAATATTTGACAGTGATACAGAATGCTGAGATCCTTACTGGATTAAGTTCCATTACATTGTTATTTTGACTTGCTACATATCACCTGAATGTTGTGTTTTCTTCTACATAGATAAAGCCATTTCCATCATAACTTAGTGAACAACATTTATCAGAATGCAGGAAACTGAGTGTTTGATGCTCAGATTTGTTTGATGCCCCCTCCTGAAATGAAACCTACGCCCTTGTCTCTGCCGCTGAGCGATGAAACATTAAGCGTCAAACTTTAAGCCTTCAAGACGGAGGTTGACTTCCTGTTTGTGGGCTGCTCTTGTATATCTTGCCACTTGTTGAAAAAATGAACGTGAATCTGTCTGAAAATCACACATCTGCTTCCTCTCTACAGATCCTCCCACCATACCCAACCTGTCTATGGACACTGAGGTCAAGGAAGGTCAGCTCATCACCATCACCTGCACTGTGGAGAGCTTCCCACTGTCAGAGCTCACCCTGACAAGGACTTCCTCATCAAATCCTCAGCGTCCACAAGTGTTTGTCACTCAACCTGATCATTTGCACCCCAACACTCTCAATCACACATTTAATGTTACTTCAACCCACACAGGCTCTTACGTCTGCGAAGCTAAGAGCAGTGAAGGTTCAAAGAAGAGCGAACCACGGAAGTTGGTGGTGAAATGTGAGTGATTCAGTGGTGCATTGTGTTTTTGCTCATCAAACAAATCAGCAAAACCTAAACTTTCCATATAATTATTTAATCTTAGTACAAGAAAAACGATTTGATTTTAAAGGGCAAAAGTAGATCTGTATCATCTGTTCTTTCCATGTTAAGACATTTTGATTATGTGTAGAGTTATTAGTACAGTGGTTCTGATTGAATTATCATGTACAATGGGTGGACACAAGACACACCTGTAAAATAAGAAAATAAGAGGCAGAAAGTAGCTACTGTAGATGTATTAATTCATTTATTTTCTTATAGAGTAGAATTGTTACTTTTATTTAAACCCCAATTATTATTCCACCACTGAATAAAATATAATTCAATGGAATAGTCTTAACTTAAAGCTTTAAATGTTCAGTTTTTGTTTTGACAAACCACCTTAAGGTATAGTGCACCTATTGCAACTCAAAAAATTTTCTGAATTAGCAGTTGTACATTTTAATGTCCACCATCCACATGGACAAATACATACCTTAAACTGTCCCCCTCTGACAAAATTAAAACATATAGTATGCAATTATTAATCGCAGTAGTTTAATAGTTTCCGTGGTAACCTTAAATTAAATGTTTTGGATCATGATAGTGATAACCATACAGGTCATTATATCTGACGATGTCTGGATCTGATTCTTCTCTTTTTCATGATATGTTTGGTAAATGCAGATCATCCCAAAAACGTGACCATACAAGCTACGCCCGACTTTGTTGTGGAAGAAAACAGGACGTTGACGCTGCAGTGCAGTGCCCATTCTCACCCACAAGTGACCTCCATCACCTGGATGAAGATGGTCGATGGAAAGAGTAAAGTCATTCGGAAGACGCTCGCTCGTTCCTTTGACTTAAAGTCTGTCAGTCCCTCTGACAGCGGGTGGTACAGCTGTGCAGCCAGTAATGAGATTGGAACTGGAAACTCACAGCAATCTGAAGTTAAAGTCAAATGTGAGTGGACTGATACATGCAGGGTGGTGTGTGGATGAACTAAGAGATGCAACACATAATTGTAAATACAGATTGGGCTGTCTCAGAGCAGACAGATGATATGGGAGAGCCACCACATGTGCTAGGTCCAACACTGCTTATAAGCTTAAAAGGCTCTATTCTTTGTTTGGGCAGCTGGTTTGCCAGCAGACGTAAGTAACGAGTCATCTTCACTTAATACAAAGTAAACTGAGTGATGAATTGTTTTCCCTTCTGGTGGGGGCGGAAACAAAATGTGCTCTTTTTCTGTTGCTAAATTTCTTGCTGCTTTACCACAAACAACTGTCAATAACTTGAAGAAACCTGGAACCTAACAGGAATACACATTGTGAAACAGTGTGCCTGAACGCCTACTTGTGCGTTCTTGTGTGTGTTCAAAAGATACAGAAAAGGGGGCACCCACTCTTTAGAATATCACTCCACAGGGCACCTTTAGTCAACAAATCTGACCATCACTACTTCAAAATAATATTTACCATTCATTAAATTACACAGGAAAAAATTACCTTTTAGCACACATTTAAGGGTGTGGGCGGTTCATTGCAGTCACCAGGGCATGTCAAAAAATTCAAACACTGACACACTGTCATTCCTCTGTAAACTTTAACACTAAGCTACTGTCCTTGTTCCCTGTCTCCTAAATTTCCCTGCTTAGATCCTCCAAAACACACAAAGATCACAAGAGCAGCAGAGCAGCATAACAGTGACGGAATGAGCTCTGTGACACTGAGCTGCAGCAGTGACAGCTATCCCGAGATCAAACAGTACTTTTGGTACAAGATAAACAAGAACAAAAAGGATGAAAAGGTCTCTGAACGTCAGAATTTCACAGTGTATTCAGATCAACCAGGAAGCTACTACTGCATCGCCAAAAATGAAGTCTATGAAAGATTGTCCAGCCCGGTCCACATGTTTGACCGTGAGTGAATTTAAAGGCCATGTGTCTGTATGTGTACGTGTATATTGCTTTAATATGGTAGATGTGTTGTAGGTATTGTGAAATCAGACTCCCTCTGATAAAGTCACAGCTAGTTGAAACTGTGCTACTTGTTCTCACATTTGTGTTTCTATTCTGATGCTCGGTCTCTTTGATCTACAGGAAGCCTTTTGAAGGCCGTGCTCATCTTCATTGTTCTTCTTATTCTGCTCATCTTTGTGATTGTCTTTTTCTACAGGTACACTATGAAAACAAATTCATTTCACAGATCTGGCATGTGTAATTGGAATGTATAACCACTGTCATGTCTCTTTATGTTTTTCAGACACAGGAGGCGGAAATCAATTCAGCAAAGAGCTAAGAACACACCGCCCTGTTTTGGTTTGCTGGTGATGACTCATTTTTGCAACCTTTCATGCTGCTTTATTGAAGAGATCTGGACAAACATGACACATCTTTGTGTGTGCACGCTTGTGTGTGTATACCAATTCAGGGTTTTGGGAATGGCGCCAAGAGGAGGAATCGGATGAACCATCCCGGCACGGCAGAGCCTTTCAGGAGCAGAGATGACCTCTTGCCAGACCAGCCACGATGCCAGCCTCCTCCAGACAGCACGTAAGACAGCAGCCACACACACACACACACTGTCCCCACCCAAGACAAGGCACACTCTGTCGGACAGAGAGCTGGGTGCTGCTGCACATGCTCGAGTCAAAGCATCCATTTAAGATCCTTCAGACAAGAATGGCACAATGAGAGTGTTCCCTGTCATATCTTACAGTCAGTCACTGAGTATGCATGTTTATGTTCTTGTCGTCATTGGTGTTCCACAGGCCTGCGTCTAACATCAACACTGTTTACTGTACTGTGAATCTGCCTCCCGGAAAACAAGTGAGTCAAGCAATTCAAGTTTCACAGCAATTCATTACCACAACAGTGCATGAAAACAGTTATATACAGCAGACTTCATATCACAATTCAATGAGTTTATTACAGGGGAGGTCTGCCAATTTTACACAAGTACTTGTGGGTACTACACTTAGCCTGTGAAGTGTCCTGTGATGTCCTCAGGGTTAGCTCAGCCTGGGTTTGGAAACCTGGCATGGAGTATGAATGATATGAGTGCTTTCCAGGTAGAGGACGTCTAATGAAATATTCCTATTGCTATGGAAGTTGCATGCTGCGTCTCTCTGCACCATTCTTTTTTAAAAACAGTTTTGTGCAAACCCCTTAATGTTCTCCATCTTTAGTGTCATCCTGTAGGTTGTCAGCGAGGTCTTAAAAAGTATTAAAAGTTGATCAATTGATTGAGCGACAATTAAGGCCCTAAAAAAGCAGTTAAGTAGTAAAAAGTCTAGAATGCAATTTTCCGAGGTATTTAAAGACATAGCTTGTTGTTGTACTAAGCTCTGCTTTTCTTTTTTATGACATACAATATTCTAAAAAAAAAAAAATGGCATACTATATTATCACTTTTTATGCTATTAAACTGTCATTTTCCCCCAGACATTTACTATGGCATATTGTTCTATGACATTTTTTATTTATTTTTTTTACATTTTTATGAATTTTTTATTATTGTATTGTGAAATTCATATTTCTTTTTCATGGCATACTATACTATGACTTTTATATGACATAATCTCTTTCATGCTATATAATTATTTTTGGCATACTATACCCCTGCCTTTTATGACATATTTTTTAACGTATTAAACAATCACTTTTTAGAATTTTTTTATGACATACTACACTGTGGCACTTTCTCTGACATACTATACTATGATTTTTTTATAATAGAACACTACACTGCTACTTCTCTGTGACATTTTATGCATCATAAATTATGAAACTGATTTAAGTTTTTGTATCACATACTAAACTCTATTTTTTTTTCCCATTTTTCATAATTTTTTATAGCAAGCTATAAAATGATTTTGTGTTACATATTTTATGGCAAACTATTTTTTTTTTTTTTTACTTTTTGTGTGACACACCATATTGTTAATTTTATACTATGACTTTTTTAGGGCAAATTATATGATTACCATATTTACTTACTTTTTTAAATGGAATACTACACTATGTCTTTTTGTGACATTTTTTATGATGAATGTCATGAAATTGTCTTGAATTTTTTTATGGCATTTTTCACTATGAATTTTTTTCTTGGTATTTTCTATGACATACCATAATATTATTTTTCATGACATACTATAATATGACTTTTTATTATCTTTTTTATGACATGGTATACTATGACATTTTTTCATTGGAATACTATACTTGACTACAGACTGACTATGACTTTTTGGGACATTTTTAGGAAGCACTATGTCATGAAATGGATTTGAATAATTTTATCACATACTGTTCTATGATGTTTTTTTACATTTTTTCTGACATATTTTTGTGTGACATTTTTAATGGAATACTAAACCGTGGCCTTTTTTATATATGTTTTTAGGACGAACTATTTTATGAAATTGATACATTTTTTATTGTACCGTGACATTTTTTACCACATTTTATGATAGCTATACCATGACATTTTACCATAGACATTTTTTCTGACATATGATAAACATCTTTTTTTCCCTGATTCTTCACATGACATACCATATCATATATACTATACTATTATTTTTTATGACGTACTATACGATGAATTTTTATGATCTTTATTTTTATGGCATACTATACTCCAGACATATTTTGTTTATATGAGTTTACTTTATTATAACATTTTACCATGACTTTTTCCTGACATTTTTAATGCCATGCTATACTATGACATTTTTACAATGTTTTTTTTAATGTATCTATCTACTATTTGTGGTATTTTTTCTGACAGTCTGTATTATGACATTTTTAATGTAATACTATACCATGACTTTTTGTGATATTTTTAGGATGTTCTGTATTACCATTATCATTGATTTGGATTTTTTAATGACATACTAAACTAAAACTTTTTTTAAAGACATTTTATGGCTTATTATACTATGACATTTTCCTGACACCTTTTCTAACATACTGTATTATGAATTTTTTTTAAGACATACTATACTATGATGTTGTCTGACATATACTGTCATGGCCTAAGGTACTATGACGTTTTTTACACACCATATTATCAATTTTTCATAACATACTATACTATGACTTTTTTGTTAAAAAAAATATTATTACATACCACCACATACTATTTTATATACCTTTTTATGACATACTTTTTTATGACATTTTACCATGAGTTTTTTTTTCTGACATTTTCTTTGACATACTACACTGTGACATTGTTTACAATGTTTTTAAGACTTTTTTCCATCAGAATACTATATTGTGACTTTTTGTGACATTTTATTATGTACTATATTATGAAATTGTTAACATGCCAAATTATACATTTTTATGACATACTATACTATGACATTTTACCACGATGACTTTTCTGACATTTTCCATTGCATACTATATTATGACCTTTTAAAGGAATGTCTTTAATGGCATTTTTTATGGAATACTATACCACAACTTTTTGTGATAGTTTTATGATGTACTGTATTTGAAATTGATTTGATTTTTTGAATATTACTTTTTTATGACATACTGTATTATTTCTTTTTTTCTGACATTTTCTATGATCACCCTTTAATGGCTTCTTCTTTTTTTGTTTGTTTGTTTTTTTGTTACATTTTTCACACCACATTTTATATTTGATATATTTTAAGGCATGCTATACTATGACTTTTTTTTAATGGCATCCATACCATTTTAGTTTAACACATACAATAATATTACTATTTGCAAGACCAATATGCAAACATCTGCGTTGGCTTCGGTTATTTGTGTAGCTCTACTTTAGACAGGCGGATGTGTCCTTTAATTATCTAAGCTGTTGCTTTGCCCACTGAGCTGTAGCTCTGTCCTCGCTGTTTGTCAGAACAGTAATCATTCAGTATTCAGTATTGTGGAGCACTGAATGACCAGGCAACCCCCAGTTTCCATTTTAAGACATGAATGAACTGATTCAGTTGCTGCTGTACATTCACTGATGTCTTCGGTCTGCATCTGCTCAGGGTCCTTCTGCACCAAAGGCAGTCAGACAGCAAGGTGGACAAACACAGGAGGATTCTCTCAACTACGCATCATTACACTTTGGAAATGAGCAAAAGTGAGAATATATGTTTTTTCATACAAAAACCAGAACAAGAAAGGTATTATTGAATGCCAAATGTCTGATGTTATTTGTTCTTCTAGGAACAAACAGGCAAAAGCAGCAGAGGATGTGTATGCCATGGTATCAAAGCACAAGCCACCTAAAAAGGTCAGAAACATATGAACCACATTCTTTTCATGTGTCCTGATCAGTTTATTACAGTGGAACATTGTAGACAGTTATGTTTAATGTGTAAATCACATAAATGGTTGATACATATCATGCCTGTGGTTATAAAGAAAATTACAGAAAAGCTATACCAGAATCATGCTCTGTATAGTACATATGTGTGCCAACAGTACTGTAACAAATATGTTTTCTTGTTAGAAATAAATTACCTGTAATAAATGATTTAATCAAGGAAAACATCATCTTACAGTCCTTACAAGCTTCAAGTGTATTAACATGACATTAGCTGTGCATAAAATCCAGATACTGTCAGAAGTTATATGACACAAATGATCAGGTTACAACTGTTACCATCCTAGATTAAAGAGAAGCTGGAGGACTACGAGAACGTCCACGCAGCACGCACAGCCAAAGCTCCAGATCCACTGGCTTATGACACAGACACCAGTGAGGATGAAGTAGAGCTCAATTACTCACAGGTGAACTTCACGGCAAAGCCTGGACATCAGAGAGCCAGACGAGACTCGAGCAGCTCTGATGAAGACAAGACGCAGTACTCTGAGGTCAAACTCTGAGTTTACATACTCTTACTTTACAAGTACAGCCAATTTCTTATTCGGGTTTTACCACTCTGCTGTTTTTTCACTCCAAATATATCATTCTTTGCTTTTATGAGCATGCAGTAACAAGCACCAAACAGACTTCAGCAGATGTACATATTTGTATGGCTTTAATACTGTTATGCTGTGCAGCAGCTTTACTGAGGCTTATTTCTGAAACATACGTGTTAAAACAATGTGTCATATGAATAATGCACCGTTTCATAACAGGCTTTGAGTTCCGCTTTTGTTTGTAACTATGTAACTGCTGACCAAAGAGCAGAAAGAATGTCTTTCTTTGTTTTTTTTATGCAAGCACAAACATTTTAAAATGTCCAGTGTGTGAGATTTAGGGGCATCTATAGGCGGAAATGGTAAATAATATTCATAACTACGTATTCATTAGTTTATAATCACCTGACAAATAAGAATCATTGTGTTTTCGTTGCCTCACAATGAGCTGTTTATGTCTACATACAGACAGAGCAGGTCCTCATCCTCAAAGTTCGCCATGTTGTTCTAAAGTAGCCCAGAACAGACAAAAAAAAAAAAAAATCTATATAGGACCATTCGTGTTATTGTGCTTGGCACACAGGAGAAATTTCAGTTCTGCAACATCTGCTAGATGCCACTAAATCCTACATACCAGAACTTTAACACAAAAAAAAAATAAAACAAGTCAGACAAACTGTGTAACTGCTTCTTTCCTCTGCAGAAAGGTTTATAATGATAATTTAACAAGGTTAGCATTGAAATATTAAATATCAACAATAATTAAATGTAGCAGCATTTTTCTATAGTATTGAACCACAAAGAAGAATAAAGGTTGTGAGTTTGAAGGAAGAATTTGCTGTAATGGTTGATTGTGGGGTAACTACTATATATATATTCAAAATGATTTAAATGGTTATTTTGTTTTGCATTTTTCAGGAAAAACACAGAAAACGAGTTACAATGACAAAAGCTCAGAGCTAACCTTGAAGCCACCAGTGTGTTTTGCTGACTTTAAATGAGGTTGCCTGCAGTGCAGTTTCTGCCTCCACTGTTGCAAACTTTAAAGCCCCTGATCCTGTGTTTCAAATATTATTTTTTCTATCGTTGACCCATAACCTTTTCGTCTACTACTGTATAAGACCATCAGTGTCTTTTCCTTTGGGTCTCTGTTGCTTCCTCGGGACTGCAGACGGATCTCAGCATACTCGGACATCTTGGAGGCCAAGCCTCTGATCTCCTCTTCCCCAAGCTCACCCTGAGATTTGGCCTGGAGTTTAGCAAAGTCCACCTTTACATAGTGGAGCGGGTCTTCCTCAGCTACTCCTCCCCCTTCCACGATGGCTTTATTGTCATAAATCACATCTTCTGAAGAATTTGTAACTCCTTTCTCCTCCATAGTGACTTTATTGTCATAAATCACATCCAGTTTTAAAGAATTTGTCCCTCCTTTGTCTTCCAGAATGGCTTTATTGGCATAAAAAAAAATCCACATTCGAAGAGAGGAAAAAAGAGAGATTTGCTGTAGTAGTAAAGAAGGCAGTATTTGTCATTAAAGAATTAGGCTCAGTTAGAGGAAATCTGATCCACTGTAAAAAGATGGGTCTGGGTCATAAGCTTGTTTGCTTGTTAAACCAACATTTTATATATAATGTTTTACTACAATATGTTTTTATAGCATACTATAGTGTGACGTTTTTATGGCATTCTATATTATGACATTTTTATGATCTTTACTATTATATTTTTAATGTGTTTAATGTGTTTTAATGACATGCTATACTATGAACTTTTTCATGACACACTATACTACGACTTTTATGAGATGCTATACTATGACATTTTTATGACGTGCTATACTACGACTTTTTTATGACGTTATACAATGACGTTTTTATGACATACCATACTATGACTCTTTATGACATGCTATACTATGACATTTTTTGACATGCTACATTTGACGTTTTTTTTGACATGCCATACCATGATATTTTTATGACATGCTATACTGACATTTTTATCATATGCTGTTCTATATAATTTTTTGAAATACTATACTGTGACGTTTTTATGGCACTCTATCCTTTGACATTTTAATGCCATGCTATACTATGACATTTTTATGACACATTACACGACATTTACATGACGTCAAATTACAACATTTTTTGACATGCTATACTATAACATCTTATGACATGCTAAATTATGACATTTTAATGCCATGCTATACTATGACATTTTTATGACACATTACACGACAGGGATCGCTGTGCTTAAATAAAGGATTTTTAATATTACCACAGAGTGCCTCAACCATTACAGTTTGGACTGCATTTTTAAACATTTTTTGAAACTTTTTGCTATCAGGACAGTCCTCCTGTTTTTATTTCACTGATTAGCTAGGTTGAAAGGTTGAATTTTATCTAGAGTGTCTCTCTGTTATATGTTTCATTTTGTCTCAAAGTTCACAAAAACAACCAACCTTTATAAGCAGGGTAGTTGTAGCTGCTATTCAGAGCAGTTCATACTGGCTTCGAACCCTCTCTCAAGCAATCCTAGGTGCTTGATTTGATGCTGGACTTCTTGTAATAAACCTTTCTATATACAAGCAAGACGGTGTCAGCGGAGTCTCCTTCATAACCTTCACATCATCGCTATTTAATAAACAACACTATACTATGACATTTATATGACATGCCACACTATATTTTTTTATGACATGCTATACTATGATGTCTTTATGACATGCCACACTATTTTTTTTTTACATGCTATACTATGACGTATTTTTGACATGCTATGACGTTTTTATGACATGCTATACTATGACATTTTTATTACATGCCACAATATATTTCTTTGATATGCTACACTATAACGTTTTTATGACAATCTATACTACGACATTTTTATAACATGCCACACTATTTTTTTTACATGCTATACTATGACATTTTTTTGACATGCTATAATATGACATTTTTATGACATGCCACAATCTATTTTTTCATATGCTATAATATGACATTTTTTGACATGCTATACTATGACGCCTTTATGACATGCCACACTATTTTTTTTGACATGCTATACTATGACATTTTTTTGACATGCTACACTATGACGTTTTTATGACATGCCACAATATATTTTTTTCATATGCTATACTATGACGTTTTTATGACATGCCATACTATTACTTTTTCCATGACATGCTAAACTATGACATTTTAATGACATGCTATTCTATGACATTTTTATACTATGACGTTTTTTTGACATGCTATACTATGACATTTTTATGACATGCCACAATATATTTTTTTCACATGCTATACTAGGATGTTTCTATGACATGCTAAACTATGATGTTTTTATGACATGCCATACTACTACTTTTTCATGACATGCTAAACTATGACATTTTAATGACATGCTTTTCTATGACATTTTTATGACATGCTACACTATAACGTTTTTATGACAATCTATACTATGACTTTTTTATGACATGCTATACTATGACATTTTTATGACATGCCACACTATCCTACGGAATTTTTCTGGCATAGTCTTACCGTACAGGTAGAGTCATTGTCTAACTGGGATTTCACCACTTTAATTTTTTTTCACTCCAAATACACCATTTTCAGTGCCTTTTTGCTTTTATGAACATGCAGTAACAAGTACCAAACAGATTCCTGCATTCTACAAGAACGTATGCACTAGCAGATAAAACATTTATTGAGATGATGACATTTATGAACAGCAGAAGATGAAATAGCTTTAATACTGTTATGCTGTGCAGCAGTTCTTTACTGAGGCTTATTTCTGAAACATACATGTTAAAACAATGTGTCATATGAATATTGCATCATTTCATGACAGGCTTTGAGTTCAGCTTTTGTACGTAACTATGTAACTGCCAACCAAAGAGCAGAAAGAATGTCTGTCTTTCTTTCTTTTTTTTTTAAACAAGCACAAACCTTTACATATAGTCCAGTGTGTGGGGCTTAGGGGCATCTATTGATGGAAATGGTATTTAATATTAATTATTATTTCATTAGTTTATAATCACCTGAAAATAAGAATCATTGTGTTTTCATTACCTTAGTACCAGCTGTATATTTATACATACAGCCAGAGTAGGTCCTCTTCCCAAAGTCCTCCATGTTTTTCTAAAGTAGCCCAGAACAGACAAATAAAAAACTCGAGATCGGTCCATTCGTGTTTTTGTGGTTTGCATATGGGAGAAATTTCAGTTCTACATTATTATGTCTAGATGCCACTAAATCCTACATGCTGGAACTTTAACACAAAATAAATACAAAATTGTCAATAAAAAAAAGTCAGACAAAGTGTGTAACTGCTTCTTTCCTCTGCAAAAAGGTTTTATTTGATAAATTGACAAAGTAAGCATTGAAATATTAAATATCAACAATAATTAAATGTGGCAGGATTTTTCTATAGTATTGAACAAAGAAGAATAAAGGTTGTGAGTTTGAAGGGAGTATTTGCTGTTATGGTTGATTGTGGGGTAACTACCTACTATATTTATTCAAAATACCTTTAATGGTTATTTTGTTTAGCTTTGCATATATTCAGTAAAGAGAAACCAACGAAATTACAGTGACAAAAGCTCAGAAATAACCTTGAAGCCACCAGTGTGTTTTACTGACTTTAAATAAGTTGCCTGCAGTGCAGTTTCTGCCTCCACTGCTGCAGACTTTTTGAGCTCAGCTGACTGTAATAAAACTAAAGTGAGATCTGGTGAAGTCTCCTAGCTGTTTAAAGTCCAGGATCCTTTGTTTCAAATAGCATTTCCCCCATACTTAATCCTTAATCTTGTCGTCTACAATAAGACCATCAGTGTCTTTCTCTCGTCCCAAATGAGTGTCAGCAACTGTCTCTTCTTCCGTTGCGTCTCCATTGCTTTGTCGGGACTGCAGACGGATCTCAGCATACTCAGACGTCTTGGAGGCCAGGCCTCTGATCTCCTCTTCCCCAAGCTTACCCTGAGATTTGGCCTGGAGTTTAGCAAAGTCCACTTTTGCATACTGGAGAAGGTCTTCCTCAGCTACTCCTCCCCCTTCCACAATGGCTTTATTGTCATAAATCACATCTTCTTTGGACAAATTGATCACTCCTTTCTCCTCCATAGTGGCTTTATTGTCATAAATCACATCCTGTTTTAAAGAATTTGTCCCTCCTTCATCTTCCAGAATGGCTTTATTGGCATAAATCACATCCACATTCGAAGAGTTCGTCTACAGGAGAAAAAAAAGATTTGCTTGAGTAATGAGGAAGGGACAGTAATTCTCATTACACAATTAGGCTCGGTTAGATCAAATCTGCTCCATCGTTAAAGGGACGGTATATGGTAAAGAATGCCATAAAAAACCTCATAGTACAGCATGTTATAAAAAATGTCATAGTATAGCATGTCAATAAAAACGTCTTAATATAGCATGTCATGAAGATGTGTTAGTATAGCATGTCATAAAAATGTCATAGTATAGCATGTCATCAAAATGTCAATGTATAGCATGTGAAAAAAATGTCATAGTATGGCATGTGATCAAAAGGTAATAGTAAAGCATGTCATAAAAATGTAATAGTAAAGCATGTCATAAAAATGTCATAGTATAGCATGTGAAAAAAAAAATGTCATATGTCAAAAAATGTCATAGTATAACATGTCATAAAAATGTCATAGNATGTCATATGTCAAAAAATGTCATAGTATAACATGTCATAAAAATGTCATAGTTTAGCATGTCATAAAAATGTCAAAGAAATGCATATCATAAAAATGTCATAGTATAGCATGTGATAAAAATGTTGTAATATAGCATGTCATCAAAATGTAATAGTAAAACATGTCATAAAAATGTCATAATATAGCATGTGAAAAAAATGTTATAGTATAGCATGTAAAAAAATGTCGTAGTACAGCATGTGATCAAAATGTAATAGTAAAGCATGTCATAAAAATGTCATAGTATAACATGTCATAAAAATGTCATAGTATAGCATGTCATCAAAATGTAATAGTATAGCATGTCATCAAAATGTAATAGTAAAGCATGTCATAAAATGTCAAAGTAAAGCATGTCATAAAAATGTCATAGTATAACGTGAAAAAACTGTCATAGTATATCATGTCAAAAAATGTCATGGTATAGCATGTCATAAAAATGTCATTGTATATGTGTCATAAAAATGTCATAGTATAGCATGTCATAAAAATGTCATTGTATATGTGTCATAAAAATGTCATAGTATAGCATGTGAAAAAAATGTCATAGTAAAGCATGTCATAAAAATGTCATTGTAAAGCATGTCATAAAATGTCAAAGTAAAGCGTGTCATAAAAATGTCATAGTATACGTGTCATAAAAATGTCATAGTATAGCATGTGAAAAAAATGTCATAGTATAGCATGTCATCAAAATGTCATAGTATAGCATGTCAAAAAAATATCATAGTATGGTATGTCAAAAAAATGTCAAAGTATAGCATGTCATAAATACGTCATAGTATAGCATGTCAAAAAAATATCATAGTATAGCATGTCAAAAAAATGTCATAGTATAGCATGTCAAAAAAATATCATAGTATGGTATGTCAAAAAAATGTCAAAGTATAGCATGTCATAAATACGTCATAGTATAGCATGTCAAAAAAATGTCATAGTATAGCATGTCATAAAAATGTCATAGTATACGTGTCATAAAAATGTCATAGAATAGCATGTCATCAAAATGTCATAGTATAGCACATCCAAAAAATATCATACTATGGTATGTCAAAAAAATGTCAAAGTATAGCATGTCATAAATATGTCATAGTATAGCATGTCAAAAAAATATCATAGTATAGCATGTCAAAAAAATGTTAAAGCATAGCATGTCATAAATACGTAATAGTATAGCATGTCATAAAAATGTCATAGTATAGCATGTCAAACAAATGTCAAAGCATAGCATGTCATAAATACGTCATAGTATAGCATGTCAAAAAAATATCATAGTATGGCATGTCAAAAAAATGTCAAAGTATAGCATGTCATAAATACGTCATAGTATAGCATGTCAAAAAAATATCATAGTATAGCATGTCAAAAAATGTCATAGTATAGCATGTCATAAAAATGTCATAGTATAGCATGTGAAAAAAAAATGTCATATGTCAAAAAATGTCATAGTATAACATGTCATAAAAATGTCATAGTTTAGCATGTCATAAAAATGTCAAAGAAATGCATATCATAAAAATGTCATAGTATAGCATGTGATAAAAATGTTGTAATATAGCATGTCATCAAAATGTAATAGTAAAACATGTCATAAAAATGTCATAATATAGCATGTGAAAAAAATGTTATAGTATAGCATGTAAAAAAATGTCATAGTACAGCATGTGATCAAAATGTAATAGTAAAGCATGTCATAAAAATGTCATAGTATAACATGTCATAAAAATGTCATAGTATAGCATGTCATCAAAATGTAATAGTAAAGCATGTCATAAAATGTCAAAGTAAAGCGTGTCATAAAAATGTCATAGTATAACGTGAAAAAACTGTCATAGTATATCATGTCAAAAAATGTCATGGTATAGCATGTCATAAAAATGTCATTGTATTTGTGTCATAAAAATGTCATAGTATAGCATGTGAAAAAAATGTCATAGTAAAGCATGTCATAAAAATGTCATTGTAAAGCATGTCATAAAATGTCAAAGTAAAGCGTGTCATAAAAATGTCATAGTTTAGCATGTCATAAAAATGTCAAAGAAATACATATCAAAAAAATGTCATAGTATAGCATGTCATAAAAATGTCATAGTATACATGTCATAAAAATGTCATAGTATAGCATGTGAAAAAAATGTCATAGTATAGCATGTCATCAAAATGTCATAGTATAGCATGTCAAAAAAATATCATAGTATGGTATGTCAAAAAAATGTCAAAGTATAGCATGTCATAAATACGTCATAGTATAGCATGTCAAAAAAATATCATAGTATAGCATGTCAAAAAAATGTCATAGTATAGCATGTCATAAAAATGTCATAGTATACGTGTCATAAAAATGTCATAGTATAGCATGTCATCAAAATGTCATAGTATAGCACATCCAAAAAATATCATACTATGGTATGTCAAAAAAATGTCAAAGTATAGCATGTCATAAATACGTCATAGTATAGCATGTCAAAAAAATATCATAGTACAGCATGTCAAAAAAATGTCAAAGCATAGCATGTCATAAATACGTAATAGAATAGCATGTCATAAAAATGTCATAGTATAGCATGTCAAACAAATGTCAAAGTATAGCATGTCATAAATACGTCATAGTATAGCATGTCAAAAAAATGTCATAATATAGCATGTCATTAAAATGTAATAGTAAAGCATGTCATAAAAATGTCAAAGTAAAGCGTGTCATAAAAATGTCATAGTATAACGTGAAAAAACTGTCGTAGTATATCATGTCAAAAAATGTCATAGTATAGCATGTCATAAAAATGTCAGTAAAGCATGTCATAAAAATGTAATTGTAAAGCATGTCAAAAAAATGTCATAGTATGGCATGTCATCAAAATGTAATCGTAAAGCATGTCATAAAATGTCAAAGAAATGCATATCAAAAAAATGTCATAGTATAGCATGTCATATAAATGTCGTAGTATAGCATGTCATAAAAATGTCAAAGAAATGCATATCAAAAAAATGTCATAGTATAGCATGTCGTAAAAATGTCGTAGTATAGCATGTCAAAAAAATATCATAGCATGGTATGCCCATGAATATCATAGTATAGCATGTCAAAAAAATATCATAGTATGGTATGTCAAAAAAAATGTCAAAGTATAGCATGTCATAAATACGTCATAGTATAGCATGTCAAAAAAATGTCAAAGTATAGCATGTCATAAATACGTCATAGTATAGCATGTCAAAAAAATGTCAAAGTATAGCATGTCATAAAAATGTCGTAGTATAGCATGTCAAAAAAAATCATAGTATAGCATGTCAAAAAAATGTCAAAGTATAGCATGTCATAAATACATCATAGAATAGCATGTCATAAAAATGTCAAATTATAGCTTGTCATAGTATAGCATGTCAAAAAAATATCGTAGTATAGCAAGTGTAGCATGTCATGAAAACGTCATAGAATAGCATGCCATAAAAACGTCAAATTATAGCATGTCATAAAAATGTCATAGCAGAGTATGCCATAAAAATGTCATAGTATGGCATGTCATACGTATGTTATAGTATCTTATAAAAATATCATAGTATAGCAAGTGTAGCATGTCATAAAAACATCATAGAATAGCATTCAATAAAAACGTCATAGTATAGCATGTCATAAAAATGTCATAGCAGAGTATGCCATAAAAATGTCATAGTATGGCATGTCATAAGCATGTTATAGTATCTTATACAAATGTCATAGTATAGTATCTCATAAAGATGTCATTGTAAAGCATGTCATAAAAATGTCATAGTATAGTATGTCACCCTTGTCAGTTTTACTACACTAAGACATTTTTATGACATGCCCTTCTATGAAGATTTCATGGCATACTATACTAGGATTTTAAATTTTATAGTATGTCATCAAAACATCATAGTATAGAGTGCCATAACTTTGTCATAGTATGCCATTGAAACATATCAAACATAGTATAATGTGCCATGAAAACTTCATAGGAAAGGATTCCATAAAAATGTCACAGTATAGTATGTCTTGCCTACATCATAATATTCTAAAATATTATAGTGAAGTGGGTCTAAAAATGTTATAGTATAATTTGCCATAGAAAAGTCATAGTATAGTAAAACATTATGAATTTGCTGTAAACAAAAAATCATAGTATAGTATGCCATAAAACATCATAGTTTGTATGCCATAAAATGTCATAGTATAGCATGTCTTAAATGTTGTGGTGTAGTATACCATAGAAATGTCATGGTACAGTATGTCATACATATGTCATAGAAAACTAAAATGTTACTGTAAAGCATGCTGTAAAAATGCATGTTATACTATGACATTTTCACATCTAACTATACTATAAGATTTTTATAACATACTGTAAATAGACATTTGCATGGCATTCTATACTATGAATTTGTTGTTGCGTAATTTATTGTTGCGTTTTAGTATACTATAACATTTAATGGGTACTATACTATGACATATCTCATGACTATGACTATCACATTTTTAGGGCATTTGGTACTGATGTTTATACTGCATTCTATACTTTAACATTTTACTACACTAAGACATTTTTATGGTATATTATATTATCATGTCTTTATGGCATACTATACTATAGTTTTCTACTATACTATGATGTTTATATTACACACTACTGTGACATTGATATCACTGTAGTGAATTGTTTATGACTTTTTAACTCATTCAAATACAGATTTGACAGTAAAAAGATCATTTTCTGAAAAGTTTTACTTGTACTTAAAATTCATTGCTCATAGGTTATGTGAAGGTTTTTGTGCGTCTTAAGTTTGAACCTATATGCTTACATAGGTTTTGTGCAAGGACATAAACTCACCCCATTAGTAACTAAACAGTCGGAAGTGTCCACCATACCCTTGTCGGGTGAATGGCTGCCTTTCCGTTTCCTATAATCAACACAAAAAGCAATAGTTATATGTACAGTAATTTACATTTTTTATTAAAGTCTCTCAGTTCATGGTCATTTTGAGAGATGTTCTGGGGCAGCCATGGGTGCCCGATGAAACTTATTGCAAGCCTGGTCACAATCCAAGTCACACCCACAACAACAAACTCAAAATGTATTTCTGTCTCATTTTGAAACCACTTTTCAGTATGTCCTATTAACAGTAGGGTATTATGGGTGCTAGCTCCTGTCCTCTCAGCTGTGTTTTCATGTTTCTTACCTGCAAAAGAGCAGCAGTGGGACACACACCAGCACCATCCCCACTGCTCCCACTGCAGAGCCGATCGTAACAGCACGGAGGTCTGAAAAGTGAACACAAACCATATGAGTCAGTAAAATGAGAGAGAGGCAGAGTATGCAGAAGAAAAGCTTGATATAAATGTAGCATCCTGCAGATTCCTTCACCTAGCTGTGTTTCGCTGGAAGATATATTGAATGCAAAATTATCAGAGCCCAGTGAGTTGAAGCTGAGGCAGACCAGAGTGGGCATGTCTTCGTCAAGATGGTACAGGGTGATGAGACTCCCCATGCCCACGCTTCCCAGGGGAACTTCCCTGATTGGGATGACAGCAGAGTGATTCACAGGCTCCCCGGCCAATTCCCAGACTAGGGAGGGAGGCGGGTTCCCCTGGCTGTCGCAGGTACATCGGAGCAGGGATAAAATCTTGACACAGTGGGACGAAGGCAAGATCTCTGGAGCAACTGAGACAGAGAGGGTAAATGGCTACTTGTAAGTTCTTGGTCAAACATGTTGGGAGTATTCAAGGCTTAAAATGGATAAAAGATGAATAAATCTTACATGTGACATCAATGCTGGCAGGCTCTGAGTATTCAGCTCCGTGGACATTCAGAGCTTCACAATAATATTGATCCTCTGAGAGTTTGGTCACATTGAAGGTGAAGTTTCGCTCAAAGCCCACCACTTCTTTCTCTCTTCCAGCCACTCTGAACCAGGTGACGTTAATCGCTGCTGGATTGGCGATGCTTGTGCAGGTCAGAGTTACAGAGCTGCCATCCTGCACTGGACCAGAGGGGTCAGCAGACACTGAGGTGTTCTTAGGGGGATCTGAAAAAGATGATGTTTCTGTTAGTCATGTGTCCAAGTCTAAGGTTTTCACTGTATGTTGGGAATGCACAATACATTTAACAAGCAAATTATTAAATTTGACAGTTTATTAAATTATTTAGGATGATTCACAAGAGGTTTGTGGGCTGTAGGGATTTGTAAATTCAAGGTTTGTTTTGCTACCTCAAATTGGTGTCCCCCATTGTGGTTGGATGAGAATACGAGATTATGATATTATTCACATTGTTCTTTTTAGGAGGATTTTTGAGAGAGAAAAAAGTTTTCTGGACTCGTTTATTTGTGTGGTGGGAGATTTATAGTCCTTAGGGACCTGGGTTGAGAAACCGGAGGGTCGCCTGTTCAAGTCCCCGTGAAAAAGAGTGAAAAAATTGAATTTCCCCTCAGGGGGATTTATAAAGTATATCAAATTTTAAAAATTAAATTAAATTAAATATAAGAAAAACAACCCGATGCGGTCCGAGATGTAAACATTAATGGCATCCTCCTCAGCTGGGCTTTAACATTAACTAGCCCAGTGGTGCTAGCAGTAAATACACACTACCTTCTTTGCGGTGATACGGTTGGTGGGTGTTGTTGGGTCGATAGAAAATAGTTCCTGCATGAAACTGCTTGGAACAAGGTCTTTGGAAGAGACATTGCTGTTTGGGGGAGGTCTTAAAGCACCGCAGCCTGAGTGCCATCTAGGTCCATTGCATTTTAGAGAGGGCAGACATCTCTGAGACCGGTATCTCCAACACTCGGAAACTCACACCAAAACAATCTAGACTGATAAATAGCCCTACAGGTAAGAGGAAAAATATGTATGTTTCATTTTGGGGTGAACTGATCCTTTAAGCCACCACCGATAAGAAGGCCCTAAAGTGCCCAGTGAAAAATGGTTTTGCTGATGAAGATGATGTGATATGATACAATATACCAATACTGAATGATTAATGGAGGCTACTTTTTAATAATGAGAAGCAAAAAGTAAAAAAAGAAAATCACCAAGTCTGCAGAGAAAACAAAAGGTTTATGTATAGATACTATAAAGGTTTACTTTGAGTTGCCTTTTCAGTAAACCGAGACAACCTTTTCATTTTATTTGGTTGAAGAAGACGTCTTAATAAAGACAGAATCCAAACAAAACATCTACACATTAATGAACACAGTGGCACACATGTGGACGTACTATACAACAGAGCTCAGTCATGATGGACCACTGACATAGAAAGGATTTCGAGGTTGTCACGCATTGCGACAATGCGTTACTGTCCAAAGTCCAGACACTGTAGTGTTGCCCTGTGACTGAGTCTTGGCTTCAGATCATGTTTGGGTGACCACAGCTGGATGTACAGTAGTTATATACAGCATATGAACACACTGGAAACATACAGTTTTGTTGTTTGTGTAAAGTCTTTACTGTGAAAAATGAACTTACACTGAATGTCCAGCTGAATCTGCAGTGAGATTTCCTCCCCCAGCTCACTTTTTGCTGTACAGTGGTAGTCACCACTATGGCTCGGGTCGACATTGTTTATAACCAGACTTGATCCAAGCTCCGTCTCCTCCTCGTTATCTTTGTACCAGGTGTAGTTGGTCACAAGTGGGTTGGCACGGCTCTCGCAGAGCAGAGAAACAAAGCTGCCTTCCAGTATCGGACCACTAGGGTCAACAATTACTCTGGTGTCCTTGGGAGGAACTGGAAAAACAAACAAGTATGGTTTCAGTCAGTGTTACTGGACATTATTTGTCATCTGTGCTTCTGTGTCACTCTGACTTACATTGTACATCTATCTGTGTGATGGATGAGTTCTGGGTTCCATATCCGTTACTGGCTTTGCAGAAAAATCTGCTGTCCACTTCTGAGACTGTAGTTGAAAGCCTGTACTTCGAACCTACTGCTAACACCTGATCTCCATCCACTTTGTACCAGGTGTAGCTGTCTACGGCTGGATTTGCGTTGGCGCTGCAGGTCAGAGTCACTGAGTTGCCCTCTCTTACAGGGCCAGGGTCGCTAACTGATGTGTTATTTGGAGGATCTGAAAAAGAATTTTGAAAGTCTTGTGAGCTTGAGAGGTATATATTTCAGGGACAGATGGAGGAGTGGCATCAGTCTTGCAGCACCAGTGGCATCTATACAACACTTTATTTTACATATCCTACATACTGGGACATATGACATGCTAGCACATCTTCACTCTGACCTTGTCACATACATTTTGGTCATGGACTTTCCACGTCCACATATGATATGCAAGGTACCCTGGGTGCATTGGTTTTTGACGTTCTGGGACATCGTGTTAAGCTCTGCCTGTTACATGCATTGTCTTCTTTCAAGATTCACTTCTGTTTGCACAGGAAATGTAACTTTTATATACAGTCTCTTTCAAAATAAATGCACTACGTTGGTACAACTTTTTTCTCCTTCAACAACAAAAGCAGGTGGTTAGGTTTAGGAAAAAAAGAATAGGGTTTGACTTTAGAAACTTACAGGACGCGAAGAGCGGTTTATCGGGTGAAAGTTGGTGTTTGTTGGACCTATCCACCACCCATCCCACCCACCCCGCTCAAACTTTCACCGCCTTAACTTTCGTCCTTGTCCCGCTGCGTTTCCCCCTGATGCCGCCTGGTCCCATTAAACTATAACAGCAACTGGCTGCGTATCATTGCAACATTAAAGGATGCCTTTTTTCGTTGGTTTCTGACGTTGCAAGTCACAGCCCAAGCGCCAGATTTCGACGACTTCGGAGTGAGACCGAGCTTGACATGCCAAAATAGTTCATTTATTCCTTCATTTTCCAAAACCGCTTGTCCTGTTAGGCTATCCCAACTGACAGCGAAAGGTGGGGTAGACCCTGGACAGGTTGCTCACATTCACACCTACAGCCAATTTAGAGTCACCAATTGACTTAACCTGCATGTCTTTGAACTGTAGGAGGAAGCTGGACTACCCAGAGAAAACCAACACTGTCATGGGGAGAACATGCAAACTCCCCCACCCCAGGTTCGAACCAGTAACCCTCTTGCTGCGAGGCAACAATGCTGACTGTGCAGCCCATGCCAGTATAGTGACACACTCTATTGCGTCGACCACTTTGTGATAATTAATGCTTTATAAGAGGTTTACAATTTGTAACTACTTGGATTATTATTAATAACAAATCATTTATTAAGGCTTTATGAATTAGTCATGAGCCTCACTAAGAACAACCTTTGGGTTGCCAGATTGTGATAAAATCCATTCGGCACCAATAATCGCATCAAGTCTGCAATGAGCTGATAATGGCAGACATTATGCTGAAGGAGGCTTAACAACCACACATTTTTTTACAACATGTCATAGCATCGCATTATATAAAATGAAATGACATGATAGGCTGCGATCTGAAACAACACCCAACACAGCAATTAGACACAGAAAATGCCAGAAACATACTCACAAAGAACACGGAGGGTCAAGCTCTTTTCATACAGAAGGTCTCTGTTGCCAGCTTGTCGGATGTAGAGAGCGGTGCATGAGAACCTTTGTCCATTGTGGAGGTACGAGGCTGTGAAGTTCATCACAGAGGTCACAAATTTAGTTTCCATGTTCTCGTCAGTGTCACCTATACTGGGGGTCCAAGTCAGAACTGGTGGAAGAACAGGACAGGGAGCTACAGCCGTGCAGTTCAACTTCACTGGAGTGCCTTCTTCTACCTCCAGCCTGGATGGAGTTATGGTGGGTTTGGGCAGTGAATCTGAGGAGTAAAAACAAGGAGGAAATGGCAAGAGAGATTCCAAAAGATGTGGGTTAACATGTGGAAGAGTTACAGGACAAAACACAAACTTTGAGTGGTGATAGCAACATTCGTTCTGAAGTTGAACTTCAGATTGTTGTCACACTGCAGTCTGAAGTAATAGCTCTCATCATCGTCCGGTGACAGGTTGTTGAAGATGGTGGTGCAGTCCTTCTCACGCAAGATCCCCGTTAGGTTTCCTTGCAGGATATTGGAGCTCGCGAGTTCTCCAGTGAGGCTGGAATCAAACACCTGCGTTCGTCTCCAACCTCTCTTCCAAATAGCTCTACAAGAATCATCCAGGTGTTGATCCCAGCCTGAGAGCAAGGTGAAAGTGCAGGGGATCATCACACAGGATCCACTTAGTCCCTCGACTGTCTGAGGCATGAAGGCTGCCCATTGTTGGCACAAGATACCTGAGGTGAAACAAAAGCAACAAAATAAGTGCAAGCCAAGGCTAACATGAATATAAGTATTCCAACCAGTAGTAAATGTCACAAAATTATCATTATTTAAGGGGAACTAAACCATCCAAATAGAACACCCAAAAAAGTTTGTGAGAAATTGTAATCATTTGAAGGCATCCAAAAAACCTACCTTGAAATAGACAGCACATGAGCAAAACCTTTACAGCACCTGTCATACTTTTCTGTCAGGTTGATGATCCTAAAAAAAAAGGTACCAGACACACAAAAAATCCAATAATTATTATTCTTGGTTAAAGGGTGACTTTGGTATTTTCCAACCTGGACCATTTTCCCATGTTTTGTGTCTAACTGACTAATGGAAACAGCAATTTTTGAAACTGATCTTGTATTGAGCGAGATGGCTGCAGGCAGCAACCCCGAAACAGGCTGCAATGTAACCCTTACAGGCAACTGACCACTGTCAGTGTACATCCACTAAAAGTGCTTGTTTTTTGCTACTGATAGGCTTAAATTGTTATTTCAAGTTTCTGACAACGTTATGAAAGGATTCCTACACAGATAGACCTTTTGTGAAGGAGTAAGATCCTTTTCATTTAACTCCATTTAAATAAACCGTAATTTCAGCGTGTATACGGCCAAAATATTTTCACATTTGATTGAGTGAATTAAATCTTTATTTCAACCAAATCAGAGTTGCCAATTGTTAAAACAGTGGAAAGATGATCCAGCAGGTTTTTAGAGCGTTGCAGAACGGTGATTCGCAGGTAGTTGCCTGTTTCATCTCGTCTCATGGCGAATCTTTGGTCTGAACTGGGCTTAAGGCTTGTTTCTGGTTAAAAAAAAAAAAGAAAATCTTACTATTTAACAAAAACGTCTATGACTGTAGGGATCCTTGCCATAGTGTTGTCAGACACTTAGAATAATAATCTGAGCCAGTCAGAGGAAAAAACAAACACTTTCAGTGGATGTACATTGGCGATACCCTGTTACCTGCAGGGATTACATCATAGCCTGTTTCACTGTTGCTGGCTGCAGCGCTCTGGCTCGAAATTGTTGTTTAATTAGTCACTCAGACACAAAAACATGGGAAACAGGGTCCAGGTTGAAAATAGTTAAGTTAGCCTTTAACCATAACATTATGAACAGCCAGGGTAATAAAGAATAAATCCTGTTTTTAGAGGAAAATTATACTTCGTCGATCCGACACACAAAGTGAAAGATCATTATTTGACCATTTCTTTGTCTTGTTACATTTTTTTGTTGCTGAAAGTGATTCCTAGTATTTGTATTGTTTAAAGTATTTAACAGTAGAGAGGCACTACCATGCTCATATGAATTCTTAAAGACATACAAAGCATTCAGAATTATATGTAAGAAAACATGTTTTGCAGCATAATTTGAATGGACTCTCAAAAGTCAAAGTATTCACTTACAAAGTTGTTGTTTTAACATTATTCAATATTACATTAAGTTGTAGTGCGGCAGTGAAGTAACATATTACTGTAGCTGGGAAAATAATGTGCTTCCTTTTGCTGTTATAAGCAAGCAGACACAAGGAAGTTTTTTTACGAGTCATACGAAATTGTTTGCATATGCAAACTGTGATCTAGACAACAAGTCTGCAGAACAATGTTGCAATGATGAAATATTACAAGAATAAAAGAGATGAAATTCAGTGTAAAAGTACACAAATCTAGCAAATGGGCACGAATAAAGACACCTTGAACCTCAATAAAGACTTAACTAATGTACCAGTATTTTCAAAGTGTTTAAGCTGCTTAAGTTGATATATTTAAGTACATTTGTGACAATGAAATAAGAATTTATTTCTGTACAAATCTACAAAACGAATTAACAAGATAAATCTGACATGCAGTCATTTGAGCTGTCTGAAAATTAAGCCTCACCTTACAGCCAACAATGATGTTCAGCATACGACGTCCTATTTTTCTGAGGAAAAAAGAACACATTTGAGATTTAAATGCACAACTCCTGACTTGAGCATAAAGTATATTCAGTGCTGATATCTTATCAAATTGTTTTTGATAAAGAAGCAAATTAACGTTTTACCAGCATTGAAGGGTCAGTGGTAATAATCCAACAACTGAGTCATTTCAGACTGGTGGAGTGTGGAGATGACACACTTGGCTCTTGTATGATTGGGCTGGGGAGTGGCGTTCAGCACAACAGGGTTTTGATTCTCTCTCTTCAGTAATGTAAGACCTGTCAGTTATTTTCTAGGGAAATTACACAACATGTGTCAGTGTCAAATTCTGACACCAGAAGAAGAAGTTGTGTTTTTTTTTAAAGATTATTTTTCAGGGCTTTTTGGCTTTAATGGACAGAGACAGGGTGAAATGTGGGGAGAGAGAGAGTGGGGGGGGGGGACATGTAGAGAGGGTTGCAAGCCAGAGTCGAGTCTGTGACCGCTGCGGCGGTGATGAATCACCTTTGTATATGGGGCGCTGGCACCATCTACTACACTACCGACGCCCCGTTATAATAAATTATAATGCGATTTAAATGTTGAACTATTGATTGCGCATTTGACAAAAAAAGGATTAAAAAAGCTGAATTTTTTCACACACTTACTCACTGTTTTATCACATTTTGTTATTTGGAATCAGGTAAAGAGGAAATAAAGGAATGCAGGAGGAAAGACACAGAATGTCACCTGCATAAAGGAGCAAGCTACATTATAAATAATTTGATTTCTTAACCACTTAAACCTTTTCTGTCTTTTTGTAAAGTCACTTCAACCTGTGTCAGCGCTGCTTCTAAATCAGCTCACAGAGTTTTGAAACATTTCCTATTTGGTGTGTTCAAATGCTTGTGGAAAAACCAACCATATACAGTTGCACAGCTGTCAACACCAGTACACCTTCACATTATCTTGGTTGAAGAGGGTTCAGAAATCCAGCCTGGTCAAACACATGTCACACAGTGACCACTGGAAAGTATTCTACTACTATTGGTGAAAGCACTACTGTACTACAGTGTCTGTTTTTGCTTTATTTTAACTGAATATCAGCGCTGTTTCTATTTACCCTCAACTTGACCGTCTATTTAATAACAGATCTATTAACATCAACTTTCTAGCAGGAAGAAATCTGTTGCGACTCAATAAAAAAAACTTTCTACAAAGGAATTAGGAACTAGTGTTGAAATGTGCACACTGCTTTACAAAAGGAACCGTGTTAAAGTAAGAAAACAGGGAAGTTACATATGTCAGAGAGTGCGGATCATTTGATAAAGATCTTTAACACATTTTTGGGAAATGGTATGTACCGTCAAATGCTACAACAAAAGTAGGACATTAGGCCCCTGTGAGCTGTGTGCTGGTTTATCTCTGCAATTTCTTTGAAGAAAGTGTGAAAGGATATTTGGTCAAAATGCTATTAAAAAGCAATGATAAGTAAAAACAGGGCACTCAACACATGACCAATGATTAGTAGTAGCTGAAATATGGTTAAAACTGACATCGATTAGCCACAACACTGAAACCAGTTGAAGTGAATAACACAGATCAACTCGTTACAATGCAATGTTCTGTAAGGAAACCTTGTGTGGATGCCACTACCCACCCAAACACCGGTGCAGACCCCCTCATGGAAACAGCACTTCCTGACGGCAGTGAGCCCCCATCTGGACAATACAACACACCATACCACAAAACCTGCTCAGGAATAGCCCAAAGGAGTGTGACAAAGAGTTCAAGGCGTCAACCTGGCCTCCACATTCCCCAGACCCCAATCCAGTCGAGCATCCATGGTACATGCCGGTACCTTAGAGATCCTGTGTCCATACCTCGACAGGTCAGAGGCCCTGTGAATGGATCAGATTTGACTCCTCTGGACACAGGACCTTGCGGGGTGTCCTGCAGTCTCTGGTGGTAGATCTTGTGTGCTGTTGTCCTTAATGTTTTTTGTTATATGGTTATGTCATGTTTTATTTATAGTGCTTATGTCTTGTTGTTTTTGCTTATGTGCCTTGTTATGTGCTTCTGTCTATGGTTATATGCCTGCTCTGTGCTTATGGACATGCCATCAATCCGCTTTCATCTGTGCTTCTGTGCTTTTGTATGTTAATTTGTCTTTCTCTTATATACACTTGCACCATCGAGCTGCCAGGAACTGCAGATGAAAATTAGCTTGTATCGCTAAATCTGGCACATTTACATGACTTAGGTGATCATGGTAACTAAAAAGGTGTTTGGGTCAATGTTACTCACTTCACCTGCAGAGGTTTAATGTTGTTGTTAGTCAGTGTAGTATTGTAAGACTACAAGAAGCACAACTGGAAGAAAAATGGGGAAAATGGACATTACGCAACACTCAAACCATTGATATCACAATGGAGCTACACATGAATCCATCGAGACTGCATCAAAGGTTGGGCAAAATGTAGCCTCAGTGTATTTCCTTCACATTTTTAAAGATTTAAGGTGGAAATAAAGAGAGCAAAATAGGGCAAACTCTTCATGAATAAACATTTAATAGTGCATTCATAACAGTGTATGCCTTCATTTATTTGCATATCAAACCCATATAAATTTCCAAATAACTTAATTCATGAAAATTTAACTTATGAAAACAAAGATACATGATATGGACATAGCTGTGAAAACAATATAAAGCAATCCAACAAAAACACAGCACAAATTAAGACAGTCTGAAAAGGTGTATTTGTTGCTAGATGGTTATATTGGATTGCATTATATTGCACAGGTGTTGCTATTATTGTGTCCAATCCCTGTTGTAGTGTGTTGTAGTGTAGTGTACACCAGTCTTCCTGTAATCCTGGACTCAGACCAGCAGGGGGAGGTCAGGCTCCAAGAGTCAAACCTCCCAGTAACAGACTCCCAGCGTGCAGGCTGGTGTGTTGAAGCTCAGTGGTGAACCTCTGCTGCCACTCGAGCATCAAGTAACAGTTTCCTCCGCTGTGTTCGAGCACCTCCATCCACAGATTCATAAGTCCAGGTACAGCATCAGCTCCTGAGGTGGATCTCAGCCACAACCTGTCCCTCAGACGGGGGCAGACGACTCACTGCATTGTCCGCTCAGCAGCTTCACTCAAGGGTCTCACAGTCACGTATGCAAGAGGTCAATATCGGCTGTGCTCGTCTGTTGCTGTGACAATGACATCCATCCAAATTCGCATGGATACTGGATTGGTAGCCACAAGAAAGAAGAGACGGTCGTATGTCTTCACGCAG